CATAAATTGAAATATCCGACATATTTGTCTATACTCATTTATGATACTGTTTGTTACGAAAATTATAATAGGATAGAGAAACAAAATGAATCAGTTAATCGATATTGTCAATGATTTACCTGGGTCTATCAATATATTTCGAGTCCTGGGGGCTCTGTGAGAACAGAAATTATTGTAGTTGCAAGTTGAAAACGTCGAGCACCAATTAGATCCATAAATATAAATATCCGACATATTTGTCTATAATCATTTATGCGAGTGAGTGTTACGAAAATGAAATGCGTGTATAATACTTTTTAAGACTTAATTCTTTTGAGTTCACACAACTTAGTAGCTCGTAGAGATTCTAGGTTAGAAAACGTCCCCATTACGAAATGCGTGTTGTACGAGACGACTAAAAGCATAGGATGGTCGGTCCCTGTGATTGGATTGATTGCGTGTCATCGTACTCCGACAGCGAGGGTCGTTGCTCACAGTATCGATCACTGGATTGTCTGGTTCAGACTCGATTAATTACAGGCCGCCGTCATATAGCTGGGATATTGTTGGATGCGGTGTTAAACAACAAACAAACAGGGGTACAGTGAGCACGTACGCATAGAATAATTCTCTTCACGGGTTTCGGTCTGTTATTTACAGTGGCTGTAACTGCCATTGATAACATTGATTGGATCACATGACTTCATAAATACAACTATCACCATGTCGAAGGAAAATATAACTCCAAGAATGCAATCCATAGATGCAAAATCGGGATTTTTTTTCTTGCTATATAGATAATCGCGTTCCATACGCTAAACGTGAAATTGTTATTATTGTTTTTGTGAAACAAATGTAGATCTAATGTTTTAACAAATTGAAACTCATATCGTGCACGCATTCTTTAAAAATAATATCACGTGTTCCACAGATATACACACTGTGATGTCGAAATCTCATAACTTTGTTATATGTTGCCTAACACATATTGCATAATATAATTATGTCTACGTCCTATGCACTTAAATAAACTGTGACTGTTCGCACAACTAAAATATAATAATAAAACATGCCCACAGTAAAAGATCGGTATGTTACAGGTGCAGAGCGGTTAATACTCAGATACCAGCTCACACAAGAAACCGGCTTCACGGAGCCGGCAATGCAATCGGTTAGTGGTCTAAGGGCAGATAAATCGTGTCTGATTATTTAAAAGTCGGACGGAGTTACTTCCCTTAGACCATTGAGTGTTCAAATGCTGTTTCGCATTATAAACTGCATTTTCACTTTGGGGTATATTTAAGGAGATATCTGTGTGTGTGTGTGTGTGGGGGGGGGAGTAAATAAATACGGAAGAATTATGCAAATCTGAGAATAAGGTAAATAGTTTAATCATGAGAACAGCAGGTTTGATTTGGTCACCGCTGAAATATGTTTACCCAAGTGTTCAGATGTCTTTCAGAGTTGACTATTTTGTTTGAAAACATTTTGTGTGAACCATACCTGACTATCAACACAGTTCATCGTTCGTACAAACAATCGAAAAAAGCAAGAAACATTTTTGAATATAGTCGAATACCACGGAATGATAACTCGACGAATTATTTCAAGAAAACAACTTATAAAAACCTGCTTTGCCAATTTGGTGATTTGAAATTGTAGAACGCGCATAGCGTAATGGTTAAATGACGATGTGAAGCGTTTTACCCCCACAATAATATGTTATCACATAACAGCCTTCTTCTAGTTCCGTCTAACATCGTTAAGTTATCGTTATCGTTGCTTGGGGCATATATTAGTCAGCGCGTCAAGACAAACTATTTTCGAGAGAGCTAATATGCCCACCTAACATTGTAACTTTTTAGAGTTGCACACGCATCCATTTTTCACAATCCTTTCTACACTTCTGAGTTAGACTAAGAGTGTGCACAGGCGTTTTTCGAAAAGGTCAAAATTAAGGGAAAACCAGTTTTGAACCATGGAGGTGAGTAATTAAAATTGTTAACCTTTTGGCCCATATCTAATAAAATAGACAAGTTTTCAGCTGCATTCTCAACACACAAATGTTTTCTGCTTATTTCCACGTCTCTTATAGCGCATGCCCGCTCCCCCGGAAGCTGAGGCGAGAATCACACAAAATATTATCACGGACAGCTTTATATATACGTGAACGTTAAAACATTAATATCAAGTTTGTCATGTGTATATGAGAAAAATTCGATATTGATAGAAAGCCGTGGAAACAACTCGGTGCATTTACACAAAGCTACGTTATTCCATGCATCCTATATATATATATATATAGGGGCAGTGGGGTAGCCCAGAGGTTCAGGCTGTGACCCGTAACGTCGAAGGTCGGTTCAGTTCCCCTATAGTACGATGAGTGAAATCCATTCTTAGTGTACTTGTTGTTACCCTGTCTGGCGCTCGGCATTAAGGGGCTAAAACAAGGACTGGTCGGCTCGGAGTCAGTATACTGTGTCTGGGTGGGGTATTCATGTTAAACTGCGGCATGGTATCTCAGTGGGCTAGCACTATAAATCGGCATCAGTCCGGACTAGTACAAGCAGACACGCTAGATAAGTGCAATAATCTTGGACGCGACGTTAAACGTCATTTCACCTCATCTCACCTTTGATGTAAAGTTGAAATTTTCTTGCACAATTTCAGATGCTCACTCAGTATTTCACCTGATCCAAAATAGCCAAGGCGTTTCCCTTGTTAGTGTAGCGGCCATAAAATTTCCGAGTCCCGTGATGGGATTCGAACGACGGACCTTCTGACACCTTGTCCACATGACCAAAGAGGTTAACCCCGTCAGCAAGCTGACAAGGTAAGGTTGTCATCTGTGGGACGACTCCACGCCCTGCTACATACTCCACCGTCAACAGAAGGCACGTCCCGAGCCGTATAATAGGGTACTGAGATTTATTTTGCTTAAAATTAATATGAGCGTGCTCAGACCCACGTTGGGCGCCAATGTAGCGGCCATAAAATTTCCAAGTTCCGTGATTGGATTCGAACCACGGACCTTCTGACGCCTTGTCCACATGACCAAAGAGGTTAACCGCGTCAGCAAGCTGACAAGGTAAGGATGTCATCTGTGGGACGACTCCACGCCCTGCTACATTAGCATGTGTGCTTGTTGCATCATCACGATGACCTCTCGTGGCAATGTTCTGTTCGGCACAAAATAACAGTGACTTCACCATACATTAAAGTAAGGGCCTATTTCTTTGGAGCTGCATCTGATTGGATTCTGTTGTGTGTACTGAAGAGACTGCTGTGGATTTCCGTGCACGTCTTTCATTAGAATATCAGCTTGGTCATGAATATTAAGAACTCCATCCTTTTAGCTTTTGAAAGTTTCATTGGCGCATGCACGAGGACTCCAGTCTTCATATACGCCCATCTTCTGGAGGAAACAGGACACAATTCTTGTAACGTGCACCCTCCACGGAGGGACTGTAACTTAGCCATCCATTCCTTCAGTCAGCCACGGATGTTGAAAGGTGGCTTTTCTCACTGTGTTCGTTTTTGTCAGCAGAGAACTTGTAGGTTGGTCCAGTTTAGAATTTGTCTTCAGCAACTCATGCTTGTCAATTCGTTTCGTTTGTTCGTTTGTTCGTTTGTTTGTTTGTTGTTTAACGCCGCACTCTGCAATATTCTATCTACATGACGGTGGTCTGTAAATAATCGAGTATGGACCAGACAATCCAGTGATTGACATCATGAGCATCGATCTACTCAATTGCGACGACATGCTTCAACCAAGTCAGTGAGCCTGACCACCCGATCCCATTAGTCGGACACCCAATGTTTTTCAACATACCCTTTTTCGCCTTGTGTTGCATCCCTTGATCTAGCATCATAGGAATATCAGGTTTCGTGTGAGCAAGACAGCTGCCGCGACTGTGACGATGTGTACTCAAGTTTCATTACTAACGTGAGGACCATAGGCTCAGTTGTTGTATTTGGAAGTATGGTTTTAAGTATTGTGGATGGATACTAGTAAGTTAGTAACGCCTACGTTATAGACACGTAAATACATTTTCTGTATAAATCGTAGTCTGTCTTACAGACCCTGATACAAATATATATCAAAAATAGCCCATGCAAGTCTATAATGTTTGGCATGTCTAGATCACTGCAGTATCTGAAAATGAAGAGAGTCACTGGGATCCTTTTTATTATATTTTTATTAAGATAACTGAACAACTGTTTTTTTATGTACGATATGTTCATTTCAGAGACTAAATGTTAGTCTATATAAATCGCTGCTACTCTTTTTCAAAAGGGGTCGGGGGAGGGTGGGGTCGAACCTCCTGACCATCCTACCACCCCCTTCCGATCCGCCCCCCTCTGTAAGTGTAGGCTAGTCGTCGCTTGTAAAATGAATTAAAATGCATTTCTTTATTAACTGTATATTTTCCTTGTAAAATGGGAATAGATAACAGAAGGGTTATTCAAAACTAGAGAATATATACCAACCATGTTAAATGATATTTATACCGGTATATAAAGTATTGTTATACTTTTCATCATCAACTAAATGTTTTTTAATCATTAAATGGATCGGGTGCCCAGGCTGGACTTACATATATATAGATCTACATGTAATGTGGTTGACTGGGCGTTGTACCCGGACGGCATACGGCCTTAAATAACACGTACGTTATGAGAGAGGACAATATACAACAAATATTAGTATTTTTATTTTATGCGGCTTTAACCAGCAAACAGCAACAATTATTATTATTATTATTATTATTATTATTATTATTTATTGCATGTCAATTCAGACATACAATGAGTCACTGATTAGAGGCCCGCATAATCTTGACCTAGTCAACAGCTTATGTACTCTCACAAGGGGTGTGTACACTTATTAACGCTTACTAATCATATTAACTATCGCTACTATTTCTCGAGTTGCAGCCTGTCCGATGTAAACACGACCACGTCATTTCCATTTTTGACAGCCAATCCGCTGCTGTTTCCGGCGCGCGCATGACAATTTCCCGCGAAACCCTTTCATGGCGGAGTGTTGTACCGCGAAAGGAAAATAGCAGTAATACGTTGTCAATGGATGATGTTTGGTGAACGAAGTTATACAAACGGGTACCTAGGATACTAAGGTATATATCAACTGTCTGCATCGAGAATATTGTTGTCGAACTTTGTCTGAATGTCGAGTTGGTTGCTGACGATAGCCACCTGATGCTGAGTTTGCGAGTTCTCGTTTTGTTCCCGACATCAGTTTATACGCAACCGCGTCTGGCGTTTTCCCGATCACGATGAGCTTGTCAACATTTCAGACTGAAATGTCGAAGACTTTTCAACTTTTTCTACCAAGTAATTTAGAATGACATTGTTTATTTTTTTATATGCCCTGGCCCAAACACCCCAGACAACGTGCTCTTGAATTGTAAAGGGCTCTAAATTAATGTTTTATTTTGTAAAATGTGTTATTTATGAAATATTGCGATTATTTCTGTATGTCTTTTGTACTATTGTAGTTGTCGAGATGTAGTCACTTATTTACATGCCATCACAATAAAACAGTCTTTCACATTAGGCTACATCATTAGATGTAAAATACATATTTCAATACATAGCCCAATATTAGCCCGCTCTAAACACTGCTCTTACCCACTTATGTATGATGTAAGTCGTCATGGAGATAGAGAAACAAGGAAAATTTGCAGATATTGTCCAGTATGTTCTTTCAAAACGTACAAATATGCAACTTCAGTTATGGTGTTGAGTTATTTGCTTTAAGTGTACAGTGTCACTCATAATACATCAATTGTACCTCCAGACCCATGAAGAACCGGGGTAGAATGGGTCTTCAGCAAAAGTAAAAGGCGACTGGTTGTTGTAAGGGACGAATAACGGGATTGGGCGGTCAGGCTCCCTGACTTGGTTGATGCATGTCATCATATCCCAATAGTGTGGATCAATGCTCATGATGTCAATCACAGGATTGTCTGGTCCAGACTTGATTATTTACAAACAGCTGTCAAAAAGCTGGAATATTGCTGAGTGCAAGGTTTAAACAACAAACAAAACAAACAAACAAACCTCCAAAATGTTTAAATGTGTGAAGGGGGCAGTGGGGTAGCCTAGTGGTTAAAGCGTTCGCTCGTCACACCGAAGACCTGGGTTCAATTCCCCACATGGGTACAATGTGTGAAGCCCATTTCTGGTGTCCCCCTTCATGATATTGCTGGAATATTGCCAAAAGCAGCGTAAAACTGTACTCACTCACCTACTCCAACACTCCAAATGTTTAAATGTTTTGGATGCTTCAAATAGGTACAGCCAAGTGTCTGCCTCTGCATTTATGATTGTGGATGCTAATAATTCAGTTGTTGCATACATTAGGAGTGCTGTGATACCCTGATTTTGATTTTCGATTCCCAGATTAATGGCAGGTTTATTGACTCTTCATGATAAACTGAAATACTGTATAACAATCAGTTAAGCCCTTTACTTGCTCTTTATCATGGTTTAATACCCTGGGTGTGTAAGCCGTCATATACAGCTGGAATATTGCTGAGTGCGGCATTAAACATCAAATAAACTTTAATACCCTGTGTGATCATTGTGATTATTAATTGTGAAACTGATTATTATCTAAAGTGGTGCAAAATATATAAAAAGAATGCGGGTAAAATACGGAACGTTGTCACTATTTTATGACCCATTGTTGTAGGGGTGAAACGATCCCGCAAGGTAACAATACCATACATATCGCGATCACACAAATTGCGTAGAAACTTCATAGCTATAAATAATTCGGAGCACGTTCTACAGGAAAATCTTGCTGAAGATACATGTTCGTAGCTGCTAATTTAATAGTGAACTTTAATCGCTAATTACAACACATTTTGTAACATGTGACTGACAAAGTCCCTGGAGGTCATTGAACAAGTAGTAAGTTATATATATTAGCAAGTGTATTGACTTGTATCGATACAGATGAAAACATATTGTGTATCATATCGTCGTATGAAAACTTACGATGCACCTGCGCACCGATGTATCTTTTCACCTCTATTGTTCCAGTTAATGTCAGATTATGATGGTAGCCGCTTCCACGCCGAGCAGCATGGATCTGACAGTCCTCTTGACAACGCTCGAGTCCAAGAAAAGCAATCTGGATGATAAGATCGAAGCCTACACAACTCTCTCAACGTAGGTGCCAAGCACATGTTAAAATGACAATAAATTACTCTTCCAAACATTTTAGGGGCAGTGGGGTAGCCTAGTGGTTAAAGCGTTCACTCGTCATGCTGAAGACCCGGGTTCGATTCCCCACATGGGTACAAAGCGTGAAGCCCATTTGTGGTGTCCCCCGCCGTGATATTGCTGGAATATTGCTAAAAGCGGCGTAAAACCATACTCACTCACTCCAAACATTGTATGTTGTACGTTTTGAATTTCTATATATTCTTGACTCATGAAGATCAGGGTAGGTCTTCAGCAACCCATGCTTGTCGTAAGAGGCGAGTAACGGGATCGGGTGGTCAGGCTCGCTGACCTAGTTGATGCATGTCATTTTATCCCAATTGCGTGGATCGATGCTCATGATGTCAATGACAGGATTGTCTGGATCAGTCTGGATTATTTACAGTCCGCCGTCATATAGCTGTAATATTGCTGAGTGCGGCGTTAAACAACAAACAAACATGTTTATGTTATTATTCTTAAATACTTGTCCCAGGGAAAGTAGACTATTAAATTCTAATGGTTGTGAGTTCAAGCCCAGTGTTTGTTATTAGGAATGAAAATTGTGGTGTCATTGTCATAACCCAGATGTTAATGCCTAAAGATGCCTAAATTCTCAAACCCCGACCACATCGTACCAGAGAGCAGGTCTGTGTTTCAATTACCATCCACATCATAACAAAAGATGTTAAAAGATGGTACTTGTTGTTACCCTGCCTCGCATTTGGCATTGATGGGCTAAAACAAGGACTGTTTGGCTCAGAGTCAGTATACTGTGTCAGAGTGGGGTATTCATGTTAAACTGTGGCATGGTATCTCAGTGAGCTAGCACTATAACCTGCATTAGTGTGGACTAGTACAAGCAGCCATGTGCATGAAAATAGCTTAGTACGTGCAATAACCTAGATTGTGTATTAAACCCTGTTTTAATGAGATTTTAGTTGAAGTAATATAATACTGCAGAACGGGGTGGTCTGGTCATGCTGATTGGATTGCTAAACATGCTAAAATATGAATACACATTGATGTTCCAGACACTTGCGAGAAAATGAGTTGAGTTTTATCAGCCTTGACCTGACAAAACAGACTGACCGAGTGTTGTCAGTGCTGAAGAAGGATGTTCAGAATGAGTCCAACGCTGTCCGCCAGGGGGCGCTGCAGGTGCTCGGCTTCTGTCTCCACGATGCAGAAATAGTCAGGTATGTCTGAAAACTGATACACCCTCAAAATATGTTACAGATTTATCAACCTACCTCGGGGCATGGGTGGCCAAGTCGTCTTAAGTGCTGTGCAATTCGCTGTGCATGCCAGAAACCTATGATTGTGGGTTCAAATCCCGCTTAGCCCCGATTATGTTTCTAGGTTTGTCAGCACCATACTCGTGCTTGTGGGTTTCGTCGAAGTGGTAAACGTCTGAGACCTGCATCCCTTGGGGCTTTCCTCCCACATTAAACTGACACGCCGTGATATAACTGGAATACTGTTCCATGCGGCGTTAAACCCAACTCACTCACTCACTCACTCACTCACTCACTCACTCACTCACTCACTCACTCACTCACTCACTCACTCACTCACTCACTCACTCACTCACTCACTCACAACCAACCCTGATGTGTAACCTTCAATTCCCAACCATTCTTCTTCTTTAGTTGCTAATACCATCCTGACATTGTCTGCAGGCCTCAAAGTTTAAATTTTTACCAAGTAGCCATATGGCCATAAGTATTTTTTTCCAGGTAGCCAGTGGTAAAATCAAGAAGTCAAGCCAATATTGTAGGTAGCCAAAAGCGTTTGAAATTATCTTTCATCAAATAACTATTATAATATGTACAAGTCATAGCATTAGTCTTGAAATTGTATATTAGTGGAAACTGTACTTGATTTTTGTTATTTGTGACTCAAACAATGATGCAATTTTTGTTACTAGATTATATAGGTATATCGTTGCTTATCCAATGAGCATTGTCAACTAAAATGAAGTACTAATTACATTAAATTGATGATTAATATTTATGTATTTCGGTTCATTGTCGACTTTAAAAGGAATTATTTGCCAATACTATTATAAGCAGACATGTTTTCCAATATCAGCTGTTATTTATTTTTGTGCCTACAGATGTGTAGCAATAGAATTTAGTCGCCACAAAATATTTTCCAGGTAGCCATTTGAATTTTAGACAGAGACAGTCTGAAATTTAGGTCGCATTGGTGACCGTTTTAGTTGCAACTTTTAGGCCTGGTTTGGGTTTTATGCCATTTGCACACCTGAGTTCAGTAGGGGTGTCATTGATTGAATTTTAGATTTGATATATATTGATTCAAATATCACGATTAATTATCAAATATATTCTTCTGTATGCCTATTGACAGAAAAAATACCTGTTTGATCTAACTAAGACTTATTATGAACTATCCTAATCATGGTTATCTTAAAAAATATGTATGTGCCAGTGAATTATTAATTTAGAATCAATGTTTATAAATTTGTATCGAAAGAGTATCAGTAGTACAAATATTTTGATATTGCGAGATACATTGATGTCCCAAGGACTCGGGCTAGCATCCCTGCGTTAACTCTCCCTTGGGCCGCCTCCGTGGTCTAGTGGTAGAGCATCCGCCCGGAGAGCGGAAGGATCCCCGTCCGCGTCATACCAAAAGACGTTAAAAGATGGTACTTGTTGTTACCCTGTCTGTCGCTCGGCATTAAGGGGCTAAAACAAGGACTGTCGGCTCGGAGTCAGTATACCGTGTCTGAGTGGGGTATTCATGGTAAACTGCGGCATGGTATCTCAGTGAGCTAGCACTATAAATCGGCATCAGTCCGGACTTGTAAAAGCAGCCACACACACTCACACACATGCATGCATGTCGCTATATAAGTGCAATAATCTTGGACGAGACGTTAAACCCCATTTCACCTCACCTCACCAACTCTCCCTTGACCCAGTTTACCCCAGCACAGCCACTGCAATTCACACTGGTCTGCGACTACCAAGTAAAAATCCATTAATTTAGTGTTCCCGTTCACCGGTAATTACCAGTTTTTTTCCGGTAAAATTAGGCTTGTACCAGTAGTTCATGCTACTGCCAGTCCCTGTGGAGGCAAATAAAGTACCTTATAAATCTTGTTGAATAAAACATTGGCGATATTCATATAAGTATAATTTTCGAACAAAGATTGTCAGTTGCCATCTGTGTTCCTCTTGTCTACTTTTAGCGCAAGGAAATAACATTTCGCTTGCTTCAAGGTTAAATATATATTTGCAGCGATTAAGTCTCGAAATATTTAAAAAAAGAGTTGAAAGAATTAAGATCAGGTAATTTCATACATTTTTCATTTGTTGAAAGTTGGGACTGACAAAAATTGTGGGGGGGGTGGTGGGTGAGAGGGGGCTAGTAATTTTAAGAACCTGGGGGAACACTGTAATAGTAGTCATAGACAAGTAGCATTTGAGGGCTATAATTCTGAACCAGTTCTCGATGCTTGAATTTTGCGATAAATTGGAAGGGAATAAAACTTATGTAGGAACACGTTTGTCTTGTTAAGGCAGTACTTACTACAAACTCTGAGGAGTGAAATAAAGTTTTCACTAGTCCTCTCGAGTCATCTTCAAAAAAAGAAATTCTAAGGCATGTCTTGTTCCGTGCCTGTGTTAAACTCTCCCTTTACCCATGTGCCATTGCTTGGTAGGTTCCTGAATCCGGCCACCAGCTGCGAGCTCCTCACACTGCTGCGACAATGTGTGGAGAAGACAGAGGACAAGACGACCGCCACTCGGGCACTGTGGTGTCTCAGCAAACAGACTCTAGCTGAAGCCGTTGTCGTCAAGGAGGTGAGGCAGTCTGATTACACTGTAGCCTCTGTCTGTGTTAGAATAGGTCCCCGGCAACCTATGCTGGTCTACATCACAGGGATTCTGTGTTAGAATAGGTCCCCGGCAACCTATGCTGGTCTACATCACGGGGATTCTGTGTTAGAATAGGTCCCCTATGCTGGTCTACATCACAGGGATCCTGTGTTAGAATAGGTCCCCGGCAACCTATGCTGGTCTACATCACGGGGATTCTGGGTCAGAATAGGTCCCCGGCAACCTATGCTGGTCTACATCACGGGGATTCTGTGTTAGAATAGGTCCCTGGCAATCAATGCTGGTCTACATCACAGAGATTCTGTGTTAGAATAGGTCCCCGGCAACCTATGCTGGTCTACATCACAGGGATTCTGTGTTAGAATAGGTCCCTGGCAACCTATGCTGGTCTACATCACGGGGATTCTGTGTTAGAATAGGTCCCCTATGCTGGTCTACATCACGGGGATTCTGGGTTAGAATAGGTCCCTGGCAACCTATGCTGGTCTACATCACAGGGATTCTGTGTTAGAATGGGTCCCTGGCAACCTATGCTGGTCTACATCACGGGGATTCTGTGTTAGAATAGGTCCCCTATGCTGGTCTACATCACGGGGATTCTGTGTTAGAATAGGTCCCTGGCAACCTATTCTGGTCTACATCACGGGGATTCTGGGTTAGAATAGGTCCCTGGCAACCTATGCTGGTCTACATCACAGGGATTCTGTGTTAGAATAGGTCCCTGGCAACCTATGCTGGTCTACATCACAGGGATCCTGTGTTAGAATAGGTCCCTGGCAACCTATGCTGGTCTACATCACAGGGATTCTGTGTTAGAATAGGTCCCTGGCAACCTATGCTGGTCTACATCACAGGGATTCTGGGTTAGAATAGGTCCACGGCAACCTATGCTGGTCTACATCACAGGGATCCTGTGTTAGAATAGGTCCCCGGCAACCTATGCTGGTCTACATCACGGGGATTCTGTGTTAGAATAGGTCCCTGGCAACCTATGCTGGTCTACATCACGGGGATTCTGTGTTAGAATAGGTCCCCGGCAACCTGTGCTGGTCTACATCACGGGGATTCTGTGTTAGAATAGGTCCCCGGCAACCTATGCTGGTCTACATCATGGGGATTCTGTGTTAGAATAGGTCCCCTATGCTGGTCGTAAGAGACATGTCAATGGATTGGAAAAAGCTGATGTCAAGTTGGCTAAAAATGTAAATAAATACCGCCTGACATTTGATTTTATCGTACCAGGTCCTTTATTTAGTCTGTATTGGTGCTGACAGCCTCTGTGGTCTAGTGGTAGAGCGTTCACCCAGTGAGCGGAAGGTCAGGGGTTCAATCACAATGAAAAACTGACTAAGATGAGATGGCCATTTGATATTTTCTAAGTGGATACTTTCTAAAATCCATGATGTGATATTGGTCAGATTTGTCCTCGGACATGTCCTACTAAAACTGTAGGGTTGGTCCTCAGCAACTATTGACCTGTGATCGCCCTGAATGGCTGGATCCTCGTTTCAGCTGCCGATGTTGCTGGCCACGTGTGACCTTGCCTTCACCAAGTGGAAGAACCAGTCGACTGCCGTGGAATACGAAGCCCTCAATGTTGTCACGAGGTAAGACACTCACCAGCTGACCCGTGAAGATCCGGGGTAGAATAAGTCTTCAGCAACCCATGCTTGCCGTAAAAGGCAACTATGCTTGTCTTAAGAGGCGACTAACGGGATTGGGTGGTCAGGCTTGCTGCATGCCATCGTATCCCATTGCGTGGATCGATGTTCATGATGTCAATCACTTGATTGTCTAGTCCAGATGCGAATGTTTAAAGACCGTTGAATATAGCTGGAATATTGCTGTGTGCAGCAAACAGCAAACAAAACAAAAAAAGTTTTCAGCTGATGTAAATGTGCACTAAACAGCAGTGCAGAAGGGGCACACAGTTGCCTTGTAACAAGAATGGAAAAAGTTTTCAGTGTCATTGATGTTTGAACAAGTTTGTTCACTACCAATTGACCCCCGAAAACAACTTGTGTTTGGTTTAAATTATTGCCCCCCATTGTCACTTTTCTAAGCACCAGGGTGCCTATTATGGGGAATCCGGTACATGTCACTGTTAAACTAGAAGACATGTTGAACTTTAAACAGAATTACCATTTATTTTCCTATTTTTTAACTTATCCTGCATTACTCCTTGATGCATTTACTGCTGATTTTTTGACAATGAAGAAGCTGTGTGAGGTCCAGCAGAAGGAGACGTTGTTCCAACTAGCTTTGTGCTAATCTCTTCACACAGCGCCGATGTGACCACGGAAGAGATGACGTCACAGCTGTGTGAGGCGCTGATGTCCAGTCAGACGCTTACGCCTCCCCAGGCGCCTCTGACGCCTGCGTGATACCTGCGCTTGACCTAAGTGCATCGTTTGCCGTCTGCTCCTGCGGTTGCGCCTCTTAGCCTCTACACCATGGCGCCTTCTCAGACTCCTGTGATTGCAGCGCCCCATATTTGGTCCAGCGCAGATGCCGTTCCAGCACATGCCTCCGAAGTCCTTGTAGGCACCATTCTGAGGAAGCTTTCTGCGTGGTACTCCCTTTGAGCCTGTCGACTCAGCTTCCTTCTTTAACCTCACCAAGAAGACGTTTTTCTTCTTGGCTCTACCTATGGCAAAGGGTTAGCGGTCTACACACACTCGACATCTCCCTGGTCCAATTTGAGAGAAGGGCGCAGAAAACCGTTCACCTTGGGCCTTGGACTTAATAGCCAAGAATCTACTCCCAGGACAGCCTGGCAGGTCCTTCACTATCCCACCTCTCTCCTCGGTCATGGGTGCTGAAGATGAGGTGGAACACCTTCAGTGCCCAGGGTTTTATCCGCCGATTTATCCTCAACTTGATGCCTGGAAATAGCTATTCATCCTCATCTCCAGGCCATCCACGACAGGAGTCAGTCTTACCACATTAGACTGTGTGATGGGATATGCCACACTGCTTGGAACAACTTCTTCAGCTGGACCACACACAGCTTCGTCTTTGTGTAAAAAAATCAGCAGTAGTGCATAAAGGAGTAATGCAGGATAAGCATACAAATGTAAAAAATATTAAGATGTTACTAATATTAGTTTTATTCAACCAACCAAGCCAATTGGTTTGTATAAGATCTGAAAGTATTTTTTTAAACATGTGACCTTGCTAGCTGTTGGAAAGTGTTGTCTGGTTGTCGTCCTCGTTATTTTGACGGATATTTGGTATCTTGACGCCAGGCTTGTGGAGCAGACTCCCTCTGAGATGAAGTCCAGTTGTCTGAAGTGGGCCAAGCTGGTCGTACCTCTTGTTGCTCACCCCGCCATCAAGATCCGCGAGAGAATCCTCCCGCTGCTGGACACGTGTCTACCCTGGATGGTCGGTGTTAAGGAGCTGAGGACCGGGCTTGTCCAGGACTTCAGAACTGTAAGTCGAATCTTGCGTGAGGGGAATAGTTCCCATGAGGGCTGTAAAGATTCACTGATACCTACGATATCCTCGATACTTAGGTACACACGATACTTGAATCATCAGTTTGTGAAATCGCGATATGCTATAAATAGAACAGGAACTTATAGAGTTACCTCCCACAATGGCAGAAGTAGCACAGCGCCACCTGTAAGCATGGCAGAACACAAGGATGTGGTAGCAGATAACGTGCCGACTTACTGTTACATTCAATAAGCATCCCTTCTATAAACTCTTTGTTCTTGTGGTTCTCTTTGTTTATGTTTTTAAGATAACGATAAATAAATGTATGAAGAAAGAGGTTTCAGAGCTGTATTTCAGTGATGTCATCATATCTTACTCTTTGATGTGGTGTATCGTGATACCAGTAGTATCATCGGTCTGTATCGTGATACAAATCGTATAGCAAGACACCAGATGATACTCAGCTCTAGTTCATAACAACAAATACAATTGTCTTTAGTGTTGCCTTGATTTGGTCCTTCTCTTGCCTCCACTATGGAGGCCGAGATCTGATGATATTTATGTTGATATTTCTTAGGCTGGTGGGGCTCAGGAGTGGCCCAGTTGTCTAAGGTGCTGAACTTTGCTGTGCAGAGTTACGGCCCTTGGGCATGTCAGGATCCCGGTTATGTTTCTGTATGTTGGCACCATATCCGTGCTCATGGGTTTCACTAAAGTGGGCAAGGCCTGAGACCTGCGCCCTTCCTCCCACATTAAGCTGAATACTGGAATACTGTTCAAAGTGGCGTTAAACCAAACTCACCCACTTTACGACTGACTTCGGTTTTTCGGGTTATAACTGGAATATTGTTCAGAGCAGCATTAAACCAATCACTCACTCTTTTCATTGTTGTCCTACACAGAAACTATGTCTGGAGTTAAAGAAACTATTCCATGGCAACGAGATATACGTGCTAAAAGTGTGGAGATTTCTGGTGAAGCTTTTCGGAGAAGTAAGTAACAACATCTATGTTCTTAATGGATGCCCATTCATCAAACACTGTTTGAATTACAGCTGTTATAAATGCCATACTTACGTCATGACAGTCTGAGTTCGATATTCTCTTCCAGACTACCTGTGCGATTCTTCAGTTACCATGGTTACAGATATGCTGAATATGTTCTATTTGATTGTGATGTAATAGATACATGTTTCTATACTTGGAACCATTGTGTGCATCTTGTTCTTGATCCAACAAGGAATAAACCAGTCTTGTTTGAATTAGGTTTGGTTTTGTGATTTAATAATGTTCCAACTGTATGTCATGTTCCAGGAACTCCACCACGGGAGCTTCATCAACCACATGCTGCCGCTGGCAGAGCTGGGCTTCAAACACGCCCTGGCCGAGGTGAAAATAGAGGCCTTCAAGTCCTGGAAACACCTCATCGACAACTTTGCACTTAATCCAAGTAAGTGTCACTTGTGTCCATCGTCTTGTTCTTTACCATTGTCACCTGCTGCCCCTGAAGGGATTCTGGATAATTTATCATCCAAAACTGGCTGGAGATAGGGGGCGCTGCGATTAGTTATGCAGAGTTGCGTCCCTTGGGCACGCCAGAAACCTATGATTGTGGGTTCAAATCCCGCTTAGCCCCAATTATGTTTCTAGGTTTGTCAGCACCATACCCATGCTTGTGGGTTTCACCGAACTGGTAAACGTCTGAGACCTGCATCACTTGGGGCTTTCCTCCCACATTAAGCTGACACGCCGCGATATAACTGGTATACTGTTAAAAGCAGCGATAAACCCAACTCACTCCACATGAGATATTGTTTGGTTGGTTGTTTGTCATTTAACGCCGCACTCAGCAATATTCCAGGTTTATGACGGCGGTCTGTTCATAGTCGAGTCTTGAACAGACAATCCAGTGATTGACGCCGTGACCATCGATCCACGCAATTGGGATACGATGACATGCATCAACCAAGTCAGCGAGCCAGACCACCTGATCCCGTTAGTCGCCTTTTACGACAAGCATAGTCGCCTTTTACGACAAGCATAAGACAATTCTACCCCGGATTTTCACTGTCAAGATAATATTTGATTGACATCAAGTTGCATGACAGTGTGTTGCAGACCATTATGACGTCATCAGTTACTGCAGGGATATATGTAGGGTTACAAAATTAGGCAAACATCAAAGTTTTAAACTTTTATTGATTCATGTTGATATATTTGATATGAAAAGACACTCGGGTGAGGCTTTTCTATTGGTCCAAGCAGTCTATGCTGGTCATAAGATTCATCTTAATGTGCCAGGCTTGGAGGTCTTGGTTGCATGCCATTGTATCCCAGTTGTGTGAATAAATGTCATGATGTCAGTCACAGGTGTGTCTGGTGCAGTCTTGACTTCTTACAGACCACCGTCATATAGCTGAAATATTGCTGAGTGCAACGTTAAACAACATTGATAATAATAATATTTCTCAACTTAATAGTCTTCATGGTATAGTTCTGGTGTTTCCATGTTTACTTGATCATTGTCAGGTACTGTGGGATATGATGTTTGTTTGTTGTTGTTTTTTCAGGCATAATTAGTGACCCAAAGAGGATAAAACTCATAATGCAAGTTTTCAAAATCAATAATGCCAAAGTGGAAAGTGTTGCCATGGAGAAGCTTCAAATATGGTGGCATTTTGTCAAAGCTCTTGGTCCGAAAATATCCCAAAACTTCGACCAGGTAGGTACTTAGGTTGCGTTTTTTTTGTGGTGTTGAATAATTGAAATATTTATGAATCTGTGTCTCCTGATGAAGATGGATGTAAAGCATGAGAATATCAGCAATGTAACATTTTGAAAATATATTCTCAACGACAAAAGAAAAGGGAAAAACGTTCGTTTGGTGATATATGAAGAATTACTCATATTCAAGAGATATTGGATTGGTCCTGTTGTGTGAACCTACACTCATGAACGCATCACATGTGATGTCATAGATCCATTATTCCAGATACACCATTTGTCTCATGCAGGTTTAGTGTGTCAAGTTTGGGCATCATGTGCAGCATATCTTGAAAAGAATTAGGACACACTGTGGTCACATGACTGATTTTGTCATTTTGTCATTAACTGGTACACATTGGAAAACTCTCTCTTAACGTACATACTTCTCTATTTGTTTTTATGGTTAGCCTTGTTTTTTGGCTGTGAATATATTTGCTGTACCTGGGCCTACATAAATTTCAGCGTTTTATTAATAATGATATATATAGAAAGTAAGCTGGCAAACTTAGTTAAGCGTTCAGTCCTCAAGTTGCGACCATTTTGGTGGCCAAATGCGACTTAATTCTATGATTGGTGACCTAAATTTATCTACCACTTGGCTACCTAAAACATAACTGGTGACAATATCTGTGTAAGATATCTGATGGCTCCCAAAAACTTAAGTTTGGCTCCTAAAATATTCATTTTTTGCAAATCCTGCGGTCGACCGAAATCTGCATGACACTTTTTGAACCGGATTTCGATTTTGGTGCGCGATTTTGATTGGACTATGCATAGACTCGTTAGTCCAGCCAAAATGTAACTCCATAATACCAGCCTAGTTCGGCAAGGGTGGAAACTGGACTTCTATAGTCAGTTAACTCGCTTGCTTTGGGAAGATGACAGTGATAGGGCTCTGTCTTGTAAAGACAGCAGATAAGTCATAGAAATACAAGCAGAGAGGATAATTATGAGAATGTTTTTGTAATTGAAATAACAGCTCACTCACTCACTCACCCATCCAAACCCACCTATTCAATCACCCACTCACTCACTCACTCACCCATCCACCCACCAGCCCGCCCGCCCGCCCGCCCACTCACTCGATCACTCACTCACTCGCTCACTCACTCATCCGCCCACTCACTCACTCACTCACTCACTCTTCTGTCCCTCCAGGTGGTGGTTCCGCTGCTCCACTTCTGTATTGGGGGCAACAGGAACAGCCCTGCCAACTCCATGACGCCGACAACGCCACACATGGGTTTGTAGCCTTTGTGATGTTCTGTAGATGATTACCACAGCACTCGCTGGTCTCACCTAAGGCCCGGGTTCGATTCCCCCCATATGGGTACAATATGTGAAGCTCATATCTCCTCAGTGTTCCGGGGGCACGGGTGGCCCAGTCGTCTAAGGCGCCGCGATTCGCTGTGCAGAGTTGCGTCCCTTGGGCACGCCAGAGACCTATGATTGTGGGTTCGAATCCCGGTTCGCCCCAATTATGTTTCTAGGTTTGTCAGCACCATACCCGTGCTCGTGGGTTTCACCGAAGTGGTAAACGTCTGAGACCTGCATCACTTCGGGCTTTCCTCCCACATTAAGCTGACACGCCGTGATATAACTGGAATAATGTTAAAAGCGGCGTTAAACCCAACTCACTCACTCACTCACTCCTCAGTGTTCCCGATTACCGGTAATTTTTACCGGTGAAATAAGACGGTCCGATAATTCATGTGACTGCCAGTCAAAGTACCCTATGAACGTGATGAATCTTTGTTGTTGAACAAAACATCGATGATATTCATATAAGTATATTTTTCGAACGAAGTTAGCTTGTCTGTTACCATCAGGGTTTCCCCTTGACTATTTTTAGTGCAAAAAAATAACAATTTGCTTTGCTTTGATATTAAATATATATCTGTGGAATATTCAAAAGAAAAGAAAAAATTGTGACTGAACTTTGTGTGAATGATCTTTATATGTAACTAAGTTACTTCAGAGATGACGTCATTGCATCAAACATCTGGAATGAATTAAAAAAAAAAGAATTGTTGAAAGTTTAGACTGGTTTGTTTGTTTTGTTTGTTGTTTAACGCCGCACTCAGCAATATTCCAGCTATATGACAGCGGTCTGTAAATAATCAAGACTGTACCAGACAATCCAGTGATTGATATCATGAGCATCGAACCATGCAATTCGGACACAATGACATGCATCAACCAAGTCAGCAAGATTGACCACCCACAGTTGTCTTTTACGTCAAGAATGGGTTGCTGAAGGCCTATTCTACCCTGGATCTTCCTAGACTGACAACAATTAGGGGACTAGTGATGTTTTGTATTGCCCTTCACCAGGAATCAAAAGCCAGCAGGAACAATGCTCCTGGCATTAGTTGGCTGGAATGTTGCTGAAAGAGGCCTAAAACCCGACTCACTCACTCACTCACTCACTCCTTGTGTGATGTTTCAGGTCTGAAGAATGCTTTGTCCAGTCCTGCCACTCCCCGCCTCAATCTGACTGTCAGCAGCCCCGGCCTGTCCCGCCCCGTCTTCCCCACACTGCAACTCCGGGGCTGTGACATCCTCGCCCACGTCCTTGTGTGTCCAAGCAAGATGTCGGATCTCCCCAGGGTCAGCTTTTCACTCGGTATGTTTGTTTGTTTGTTTGTTTGTTTGTTTGTTTACTTGTTGTTTATTTGTTTGTTGTTTATTTGTTTGTTTATTTGTTGTTGTTGTTTTTTTTTGTTTATTTCTTGTTTAACGCCGCACTTAGAGATCTTACGGCTATATGACGGCAGCTTATAAATAATCCAGTGATTCACGTTGTCCTTGACGTTTTTGAGTAGTTCATGAAGATTTGTTCCCAGATTGAAGCAATGGCATTAAAATAGTGTATGCCTACAGTCTAAGACTTCAGCTACTAGTCTGAGGGGTGACTGTTTTGTAAGCTCAGCTGGTAATTGTTCAATAATAGCATCCAAATATACAAAAAACGAAAAGGTTCGGGCTATGGACTGTAGTTTCTTGGGGCACACTTTTCCTATTAAATCTTCTTGGCTGTTATTTGATTTGACCCTGTTTGTGTTGTAGATGGTCTGGCATGTGAAGTGGTCAGCGGGACGCCCATGTTCCTGAAACATGCCTCTGTGATAGTGTCCAGTAGTCTTGACCTTGTCTGTGCCCAGGGACCTCACATACCAGGTGGGTGTGTCGGCATACAGGGTGGTGTCGGTATACAGGGTGAGTGTGTCGGCATACAGGTTGGGTGTGTCGGCATACAGGGTGGTGTCGGCATACAGAGTGGGTGTGTTGGCATACAGAGTGGGTGTGTCGGCATACAGGGTGTGTGTGTCGGCATACAGGGTGGGTGTGTCAGCATTCAGGGTGGATGTACAAGACTGGGTAGGTTAATGGTAGGTTAGCACAACACTAAAATGGGCCATCCAATCCAATTACTTTCCCGCAAGTTATTGAGTTTAAGCTTCAGTGAATAATTCACTCATTCACTCACTCACCCACCCACCCACTCACTCACTCACTCACTCACTCACTCACTCACTCACTCACTCACTCACTCACTCACTCACTCACTCACTCACTCACTCACTCACTCACTCACTCACTCACTCACTGTTTCAGAGTCCCACCTGATGTTCATTTGGCAGTGTCTGCTGTTCCACCTCCGTTCCGCCATCGAGTCATCCTCGCGGTCTGAGAATAGAGAAGCTCTGTCCAGCTTTCTCGGACACTTCCAGACACTCGTCTTCAGCCAGAGTCTTCCCCCCAAAACTGTCATGGTAGGTGCTGACTACATCGTGCCAAGCTGGAACCCCCAGTAAAATCTTATACCAGGGTTACTCTCATCGCTTGCCTTCATCACTGGGAATCGGCTGTCTTACTGGTGTAGTGAGTCGGCTGTCATACTGGTGTAGTGAGTCGGCTGTCATACTGGTGTAGTGAGTCGGCTGTCATACTGGTGTAGTGAGTCGGCTGTCATACTGGTGTAGCGAGTCGGCTGTCTTACTGGTGTAGTGAGTCTTTGGAAGATTCCCAAAAGTAGTTGCATTTCTTTGTGCTTTCCCAGAGTTTTACATGATGCTCAAATGTTGATTGGACGCAGAAAAAGAAGATACCGCATCCCAAGGGATGCCCAATAATATTGACTGTACCTACAGCACATCAAGAGCAGTTATTGGTGTCTGTCATGTCATCTATCAATCATGACAAGTCCATTATAAAACATACTGTTCACTACGCCAGTTTACTGCATTACAGTACTCTCCTGTTGCCTGCAAGGAATATTAAAATTAATAGTTGGTGGTCCCCACTTTTGTAAGTCATATTAAAACCCTGCATATAGCTGTTGTGATAAAAGGGGCACGGGTGGCCCAGTCGTCTAAGGCGCCGCAATTTGCTGTGCAGAGTTGCGTCCCTTGGGCACCCCAGAAACCTTTGATTATGGGTTTGAATCCTGGTTCGCCCCGACTATGTTTCTAGGTTTGTCAGCACCATACCCATGCTCGTGGGTTTTACCGAAGTAGTAAATGTCTTAAGACCTGCATCACTTCGGGCTTTCCTCCCACATTAAGCTGACACGCCGTGATATAACTCGAATATTGTTAAAAGCGACGTTTAACATAACTCCCTCGCACATTGATGTGATAAAAGTAAAATACTGTTCAAAGATTGCGTTCAACTCAACTCTTTCCCTCATTACACACCTTTTTCAGGGGTGGCTCGTCACTGAGGCCCAGGTGTGATTCCCCGTACTTGTACTTGTTGGAACGACAGTTGGAATCAGTTTTCACTATTTTCTGTTTCCAGAAACTATTTCATCCTGTGTGTAACTTGCCCCAAAAGGCACTGGCATCAACAGCGTACAACATCAACAGCGGCAAGGTCGTACGGGTAGGGGACGTTGCTTGTTCATAATGCTTACAATCTGTATAGTTCATGCTAGCCACGACAAGTAACAATCTAATAATGGCAGTCCTGATGGAAGGTACCATTTAGGAATTGATCAGAGCTCCAGATAACTTTTTGAGCAATTGAGTTTTTACTCGAAGGTTTCTATTTTAATTGGGTTATTACATTTTGCATTGGGTAACCAATATTTTTTCACTCATCTATTCATCACCCTATTGGGTTTTTCCAAAAATTAGTGAACATTTTGACAAAATGAAACAATGTTTTAGATGTATATAACTGTTCTAAATATATAAGCTTGACTCGGAAAGTAAATTAGCTTGTAATTGTTATTAGCCCCTTTGTACGCATGCTGAAATAACTTCATTGGATATTTACGCATGCTGTTTTTTTACATTTGAGTTTTTCATTTAATGCATGCTTTTCTGTATGCAAGTTAATTCAAAGTAATTGGGTTTTGTATATTTTGGGGGGTATTTTACGCAAATATGCTGCTTATCTGGAGTTCTGCTTGATACAAGATGGAACTGTATAAAAATGAAAGAAATTGTAAACATTGTAAACATGTTTGTCTTGTTCCAGCAGGACTACAGACTCTGAGTACTAGTGAAATAAATTCTTAACCCCCCCCTAAATTTCTCCGGTGTGATATATTCAGCTGAATGCAGCTGAAGCAGCACCTTGTCTTTGTTATATATGAGCAAGCTGACAAGGTCAGGATGTCATCTGAAGGATGACTCCATGCTCGGTACATGGTACATGCAGCTGAAATATTGCTGAATGCGCCCTTAAATAAATTGCAAGTAAAATACTGTGTAAATGTCCTTGGCCTGCTCCTTGCAACAATGCTTCATGAGTTTGTGTCCGCCATGTTGGTCTGCTTGCTGGGCTGTGTGTGATAGTGTCTGGCTCCTGCTGCAGGGGACACCGGCTCTGTTCCTGTGTGAAGTTCTGCTGGCACCAACCCTTCTCAAAGATTTGGCCAGCTCAGAAAAGTGAGTTGAATAACTGCTGACACATTGTTTAAAATGGGAAAAGGAATGTCCAGATATGGCCATTTGGGCTTTTATTAACCTTCCCTGTGATGAGGTATTGGGTGTTCAGCAAATGAGAAAATTTCAAGAAAAATTACTCGTATCATATTGCAACATTCCATCTCTATACATCAGTAAGCTCTCACAATTTAGATAAAATCGTATATATTAGTTGTAAGACGTTGTGATTTGCTCGTCGCGCCGAAGACCCGGGTTTGAATCCCGACATGGGTACAATGTGTGAAGCCCATTTTTGGTGTCCCCCGCCGTGATATTGCTGCAATTTTGCTGGAATATTGCTAAAAGCGGCGTAAAACCAAACTCACTCACTCACTTATAAGCAGAATTGACATCAGGCATATGTCATTTTGTACACATTCAAGGCTCTTAAAGCAATTTTTGGTAATTATCAAGGTGGGGGAGGGGGGGGGGGGGGGGGGTGTCAACCGATGGAATCAGACAGAATTCCAATGCCGTTGAAATATCAAATCCCTTGCCTCGAAAGGGCTACACTCAAACGAGACAGAGAGAAAGGGGCAACAAAAACTCAACTGACCCTAGCAGCTCTTAAAACACAATATAGTGCTGGATTAAAAAACATACAAACAGACTAAGGCTAATAAGTAAAACCCCAACTAAAAGGCCTGGAAATTTAGTGTTCCATATCTGTATGAGCCCTGCCATTCCTCCATTCCAGTTTCATCAGCCTGTTTTCGACTCTGATCAACTGTGGGACCAGTACTGTCACCGGAGTTCTGGAGTTCTGCCAGGCAGTGACCAACGTCGTCAACGAACAGGCTTCCTTCATCACCAACCCTGACGCTCTCTGGAGGCTCTGGAGCATCCTCGCCAACACATTGCAGGAACATATTGTCAAGGTAGGTCTTGATGATCGGCCAACATGTTGTGGGAACACGTTGTCAAGGTAGGTCTTGATGATCGGCCAACATGTTGTGGGAACATATAGTCAAGGTAGGTCTTGATGATCAGCCAACATGTTGTGGGAACATATAGTCAAGGTAGGTCTTGATGATCGGCCAACACGTTGTGGAAACATATTGTCAAGGTAGGTCTTGACGGTGTCTCAAGCACTGATCATGAAGATAATGTTGATCATGTCAGTCTTTGCCAAATTGTTATGAGTCCACCAGTCCAAACATGGTTCTTAGCTATATTTTCTGTAGATTTTAGTGTTATATGGACTAGTATTAGCGGAGCTTACTAGACTGAACAGAATTTTACTAGTCTGGCTTCGGACTAGTGGCTAAACACACAGTCATGTAGATGATGATATAGGATGAGATTGAAGTGTAGGCTTCTATCTCCCCCACAAGTTTAAAATGTCCAACCCATGTTCAAGGTATCATGATGTACGATTGCTGTGAACAGTGATGTGGTGATGTAGACTGATGGTGGTGAGTTGTATTTCCAGACAAACGAGGTGAATCAAGGCGACTCCCTGGAATACAACTTCGACTCCTTGTACACGGTCTTGTTGTTCCCTGTCAAAAACAAACTGGGGACCCGACTGACACAGGTGAGAATTACTGCAGCTTCTTCGTGATTTTGAGTTTGCGTTAAGGTTACACACAACCAAATGTTTTCCCACAGACTTCTGTAGTAATGTGATGTTTTTTCAAAAGATAACAAAGCATTTAACAGCTATTTTCAGTATGTGTGTGTACATTTTGGCCTTAGAGTAGCAAGAAGAACAAAAAATATTACCAGCTTTGCCCCATCCTTTTCTGGGTACAGGAAGCTACACACACCAACCCCAGTTCCGCACCAAGTGTCACTTGCTTGAAATTACCTGTGGTCACATTCAGCATAAGTCATCATGTAGAAAAAGACAGCACTAAATATAGAAAAACATGGTCAGTTTTAATAACTGGATGGATGTACATTTAAAAGACATAAAAATCTTACACAATATCCTCCAATCACAGCTGTCAGATGATTCAGTCTTTTCTTCTGAAAACTGCTTGTTGAATGACTGATTCTGATTTGGTGTAGTAGTACCTGTGAAAGTGTGACAAATACTCCATCTTCCCAGGGCAAGGGAGTTAACTGACTATAAAAGTCAAGTTTCCACCCTCGACGAATAGTCCAATCAAAATCGAGTAACGAAATTGACATCCGGTTTGTAAAATGCTGTGCAGATTTCGGTGGATTGCAGGGTTTGCAAAACATAGGTTCCGTCAACTTCGTATAAACAGATATTTTCCAAATCTTTTCATGTTTATGATCAAGGTGCTCACATGATTGGATGCACTTCACGAAGTAAGACCCGTTTTATCACAATATAGATCTTGATTATCGATCAGATCGTCTTCACTGGGGGCCACCATTTCGTGAAGCAAATGCAAGTGCTATGAGAGGTGGAATCTGACTGGTTAAGGAGGGAAACATAAAAGGGACACAACTAGTAATAGCCACTGGTGGCGCTACAATCGAGTCCAGAAATGCCAGCCTAGTTCGGCATGGGTGGAAACTGGACTTTTACAGACAGTTAACTCCTTTGCCTCGGGAAGATGAATGACTCTGAATTAACAAGATGTTAATCAGGAACATAAAACATTTTTAAAATTACATTTCTACTTGAAAATATCGTGATTTTCGTGTGTGTGTGTGTGTGTTCCCCAGCCTATCTGCAAGTCACTGCTGAAGACGTGGGGAGAGTTGTACAGGAGTTTTGCTCGTCTCTCAGCCCTCGTGACAACTGCAGAGGCCAACATTGCTTGTGAAGAATTTTGCCAAAAAGTCCTCCAGTGTCTTGAAGACGAGTCGTGGAAGGTAAGGAAGCCCAGATGTCTGTTATACTCTGAGATTTGCAGGATACAGAGCATGGTGATGGTTCTAACATGAGTTCGGTCGTCACCATGACTTCCTTGCCGTGTGCTCCAGTTCTGGTTGTGGTTTTTCTATGGGGCTAGTGTGCTGTTGTGTTACTGTGTTTAGTATCAAGTAGATATATACTTGTTGTATATTCCCCAGGGAGCTGAGAATGAAAATCGTGTGCAAACGGAACTATTGAATGCACATCATTTATTTATTTATTTATTTATTTGTTTATTTATTTGTTTATTTATTTATTTATAATCGTGACAAATGGTGGCTTATTGAATTTACTGATGATATTCTCTTCAAAAACCCATGGGAATATTTCTGTACGATATAATGACTGACATCTTAATGTTTGACTAGCCTAGTGGTTAAACATTCCAAATTTACAGCTTTAATTCCCTGCATGGGTGCAATATGTGAAGGTATCCCTGGTGTCCCATGTGATGTTTCTGGAATATTCCTCAACATGGCCTAAAAAGTAACTCACTCAGTTTTTCAGATACCCTGTCCACTAAGCCAGATTAGACATAATCTGAAACTGTGCTTGTTTCTGACAGTAGAGCGGAGTGTAACTGACTCAGTTTTTCAGATACCCTGTCCACTAAGCCAGATTAGACATAATCTGAAACTGTGCTTGTTTCTGACAGGAGAGTGGAGTGTAACTGACTCAGTTTTTCAGATACCCTGTCCAATAAGCCAGATTAGACATAATCTAAAACTGTGCTTGTTTCTGACAGGAGAGCGGAGTGTTGGAGTTCGTGGCTCAGATGTGTCAGGTTGTGATTGACAATGTCGACTTCTCGTCACTTGGGACCGGCAGCGGGTTTGCTCATGGAGGTAGGAGGACGTTTATTAAAAGAATTATTTTTAACTGTACCATGCATCACTTCTTAATGCATCTACTGCTGTTTTTTTACTTAGGAGATGAAGCTGTGAGAGGTCTGGCTACAGAAGATGTTGTACCAACTAGTTTTGATAAGATCAGGTTGTCTAGCGTGTCTTGTATACTTGACGATGCATTTGAAATTTATGATTTTGTGTGGAAATTGGTGTTTGTTTTGAGAGCCATCTTCCATCCTCCATAGCTTCTCTGAGTCCGTCAAAATGGATCAAGCGGAAGAACAAGCCAATGGAGAATCTCCAGTCCTTCATTAAGTTGCTGGTCCACCTGGTGGAGAATCTCGCGGAGTTGACAGAGTCAGGGGAGACAACTCTCACTGCCAAGCAGGTACACATCATTACTACTTTGAGTTGTAAATTCTCTTATTTGGCTTATTATTTCTGGAATATAATATAAATAGTTCCGAATGTTCAAGAGGAAGGTTGCATGAGGTTTTGAGCCAATCAGATGTCAGCGTCCTAATACTATTCGGCTGCATTGTCAAACTTGCAGCATTGGTCAGTGGTTGATCAGAAGTTTACTCATGTTTGATGTAGGAGAATTGAAACCACAGCTAAGACAAACCCTGATATCATTGATCAAGAGATAAGACTGAAACAAGGTCACTAGTAGAGCTGAGCATCGCCTGGTATCTTGTACACTACATCAAATAGTTAGAAGTTAAAAAATCACTGAAATACAGCTCTAAATCCTCTTTCTTCATACATTTATTTATTGAAATCTCAAAAACCTAAATAGAGTCTGGACCAGACAATCCAGTGATTGACATCATGAGCATCGATCCGCACAATTGGGATCGATGACATGTATCAACCAAGTCAGCAAGCCTGACCACCCGATCCCGTTAGTGCTTGTCGTATAAGTCGACTAACGGGATCGGGTGGTTAGGCTTGCTGACTTGGTTGATACATGTCTTCGATCCCAATTGTGTGGATCGATGCTCATGATGTCAATCACTGGATTGTCTGGTCCAGACTCGATTATTTTACAGACCGCCGTCATATAGCTGGAATATTGCTGAGTGCGGCGTTAAACAACAAACAAGCACACAAAACAAACCTCAAAAACCGAAACAAAGAAATCCACAAGAACAAAAAGTTTCAAATGAAGGGATGGTTATTAAATGTAACAGTAAGTTGGGGCTTGCTCAGCTCAGCTACCTCGTCCTTGTGTTCTTCGATGCTTATAGGTGGCGCAATGCTACTTCTGCCATTATGGAAGGTAACTCTATTAGTTCCTGTTCTTTTTATAGCGAATTGCAATCTCACAATTTGACGATTTAGGTATCGTGTGTAGCTAAGTATCGTTGATATCGTGGGTATCTCTGAATCGTCACAGTCCTATTTACTAGCCATCGTCATACACCAAGTCCAATGTTTCACCTTCCAACAACTTGTCCTGTTCCAGGAACATCCTCAACAGCTTGAATAGTTTACTTGTATACCATACCATGTTATTGCAGAAACCGGCAAATGTGACTGCAGGTGCCACGCTGCTGGTGGACGTGTTGGCGACGTTGTTCACACACATCAACGTGTCGACCATCATCGCACGGATGCTGGGGCAGCTGGCCACGCCCACTTCCTGGTTCTTCTCCGCGTCCAGCAGGAAGACGTGCAGCAGGCTCTTTAACGCAGCGTTCATGCAGAAGGTAGGAGGGAAGCTTCAAGAGCACTGTGCTCAACTTACTTTTTTTTCCACAAAATAACTGCAAGACAATAGGTTAAAAGAAGGAAACAGCTACAGATAAGCAGCGTATTTACGTAAAATACCCCCCAAAATATTCCAAACCCAATTATTTTCAATTAACTTGCCTATAAAAATGCATGCATTAAATGAAAAACTCAAATGTACGCGTGAATACCCAATGAAGCTTTTTCAGCATGCGTACAAAGGAGCTAATTTCCGAAACACAATTACGAGCTTATTTACTTTCCGAGCCAAGCCTATATATTTAGAACAATTTTATACATCTGAAACATAATTTACATTATATCATTTCTTTATAATCTTAAAATGTTTACTAATTTTGGGGAAAACCCAATAGAGAGATAAATAGATGAGTGAAAAAATATTGGTTACCCAATGAAAAATGTAATAACCCAATAAAATAGAAACCGTAGAGTAAAAACTCAATTTTTTAAAGTCAAAAAGTTATCTGGAGCTCTGACAAAATAAGAATAATTAACGCAATGTCAGAATGAAAGGAAGTGTGTCCTGAGGATCTGTTTCTGTCTTTTTGAATGGGGAGTGAACTAGCTGATATCTGGACTCTTGTCCATTGGTTCAAGCTGTAAACTGGGGCAGTAGGGTGGCCTAGTGGTTAAAGCATTCGCTTGTCATCCCGAAGGCCGGGTTGATTCCCCACAGGGATACAATGTGTGCATCCCATTTCTGGTGTCCCCCGTCATGATATTGCTGGAATATTGCTAAAAGCGGCGTAAAACCATACTAGATTGCCTCTTTCTTTCAGCTCAAATCATATGTTTTCGATATTGGTCATAAAACATTAATGAAACTGAAATTTTGAGAGAATGAATAATTAATTTTATGAATCTGTTGCAAAAGCCTAGCTTTTCTTGAACTAATATTTTGAATACATTGACATAGATCATTTTTCGCGAAGGGAAAATGTTCACCTGACTTTCAAGCTAAGTTAGACTTTCAGTTTGATGGTCATGGGTGTCCTCAGTTTGCTGTGAGGAGTTTCCTCCCTTCTCCAACCAGGATCCAGTGATCGTTAGTTCAACTTTAACTTGATTTAGTTTTGATCTTGGGTTTATCAGCACCATACCCATGGGATTCACCAAAGTGGCTGATGGCTGAGGTGTCTGTATTTTCTCCCACGTTCACCTGCCTTGATGAGACTGAGCTGACCCGGGCACTCCATGTTTCAGGTGGAGAAGCTGTGGCTGGATATTTCCACCTGCATCCAGAGTCGCTACACCATGCAGTATGACACGGAGTTCCTGGCGTGTGTGTCGCCGCTGCTGCAGGAGACGTTGTTGCACCCGCGCCGACAGATCAAGAACCAGTCTCTCATTCTGTGGAAGGCCACCTTCAGTCACGCAGCCCCGCTCACCTACCCAGAAGAACTCAAGTGAGTGGCTCAGCAGAGTTGTCTCCCTTTGCTGGGATCTACTCAAGCCCCTTCCCAGCGCGTGACACCTTCGTTACACTCCCGGTCACATCACTGCCACCACTGTGGGCGCGGCCATTACAAGAATCTTGAAATTTGCCCTCTAACCCCAAACGTAGTAACGTTGATACTTTTGTTTATGTCTTTGGGAATGCCATTATATTTCATTTTGAAAAGGTTTACGACTGCCCATGTTTTCTAGATGAATTTACTTTGTTGTTTTAATAATCAGATTGGTTCGAGATTGCAGACTAACGGAAAATCAACCAACTTCTCCCTTACATTCTTACTATATCAATAACATGATAGTTTTATTGAAACAGAAATTCAAATTGACAAACAAAGAAAGTAATTTATCAGCGGTAAGTGTATTCGGCGTCACGACAGTCGTCACTTGTTTGTAAACATAACGGTCATTCGGTTGCGAGTTCAACTCCAAGCATGGTTGTGGCCACCTATTCACAGTGGGGAGTTTTGACTGGTGGCAGTGATAGTATAGAGAGCTCTGCGACCGGGCTATAGCTGTGAGGAGCTTGGGATGTACTCAAGCACCTTTGTTACAATGTCGGTAACATCGCTTCCAGCATTGTGGGTGGCGCCTTTACAAGAATTTTGAAAATGCCCTCGAACCCTAATTGTAGTAACGTTTATACTTTTGTTTATGTCTTTTGGATTGCCATCATATTAAATTTTGAAAAGGTTCACAACTGTTCATATTTCCCAGATGAATTTACCTTTTTCTTCGTTTGATCAGATTGGTTCGAGATTGCAGACCAGCAAGTAATTTTTTTGGTCCATGGCAGTTTGTAAACAAATAATGTGGGTCCATGACAGTTGCATCTGGTGAATGTTGGTTGGTGTGTATTGCAGGCCCGTGTTGATGAAGGTGAAGGAGAAGACGCCTATCATGCTGCCGGGGTGGGTGCAGACGGACACCAACGTCATTGAGGAGACACCCTTCAGCCAGTACAGCCAGGTAGTCTTCTAGTGTTGTCCCTCCTTGAAGATCTGGGTAGAATTCATTTGCTGACTTGGTTGATGCATATCATCGTGTCCCAATTGAAGGATTGATGCTAATTATATCAATCACTGGATTGTTTGACCAGACGTGATTGTTTACAAATCATCGTCATGAAGCTGGAATATTGCAGAGTGCAGCGTTAAACAACAAGGACTACAGTTGTCATGCTAAGTTACATATAGTGTTGTCCGGCCATTGCTGTTGTTATCAACGTGCTTGTGTTTACATTGCACAGAACTAGCAGAACAAACCTAAATTAACCAGTCACGCAGGACCCGAGAAGATCCGGGGTTGGAATAGGTCTTCAGCAACCCATGCTTGTCGTAAAAGGCGACTATGCTTGTCGTAAAAGGCGACTAATGGGATCGGGTGGTCAGGCTTGCTGACTCGCTCGCCAATTGTGTGGATCGATGCTCATGATGTCAATCACTGTATTTTCTGGTCCAGACTTGATTATTTACAGACCGCTGTCATATTGCTGAGTGTGGCATTAAACAACAAACCAATCAACCAGTCATGCAGTCTGAGTTAGCACTTTGTTTTGTGATGCACAATAAGTTAGCACTCGCCCAAGTTGTTATCAGTTATCACAAATCATTATGATACATTGCGCCAAATTCTGTCAATAAAATAAAGTTAAGAAAGTTACAAAATTCACCATTAAGTTTGACTAGTTCTTGATTTCACTTTCTGTCGTAGTGGTTGTCACCATGGTTACTGATTTCACAACATGGTGATGTGGTTCCCATGGTTTCTGATTTCACGATCTGTCATGGCGGATGTGGTTCTTGTAGAAGGAGTGTTGGTCCTGAAACAAACAGACAATATGTTTATCTCCTAATGCTGGGAAATATGTGATGTGATCAGGCAAACAGTTCTATTTAACTTTATTGCAGTATATCAATGATTGCAATTTTATATCAAAATGTCAATGTTCGTTTGTAGATGGACTCATTCGCCCCCGATGCCCGTCTCCCTGGGCTCCCCTCCCCACACAAGATCGTGGGCAGCTTCATGCATAAGGCTGTGTCCCCCAATATAAAGAAGTCCCCCGCCAAACTGCCACCTCCTGATGTCCGGCCTGTCGGTTCCGCCAAGAAGAAGCTCTCTGTCAACGACTTCAAAGAGGAGGTAATGACAAGTGCAGAATGACACTGTGGGGAGTCTTGGTCAGAATGTCACTGTGGGGAGTCCGGGTCAGAATGACACTGTGGGGAGTCCGGGTCAGAATGACACTGTGGGGAGTCTTGGTCAGAATGTCACTGTGGGGAGTCCGGGTCAGAATGTCACTGTGGGGAGTCCGGGTCAGAATGACACTGTAGGGAGTCCGGGTCAGAATGTCACTGCAGGGAGTCCGGGTCAGAATGTCACTGCAGGGAGTCCGGGTCAGAATGACACTGCAGGGAGTCCAGGTCAGAATGTCACTGTAGGGAGTCAGGGTCAGAATGACACTGCAGGAAGTCCGGGTCAGAATGTCACTGTGGGGAGTTCGGGTCAGAATGTCGCTGTAGGGAGTACGGGTCAGAATGTCACTGTGGGGAGTCCGGGTCAGAATGTCACTGTAGGGAGTACGGGTCAGAATGTCGCTGTAGGGAGTCCAGGTCAGAATGTCGCTGTGGGGGGTCCGGGGCAGAATGTCACTGTGGGGAGTCCGGGTCAGAATGTCACTGTGGGGAGTCCGGGTCAGAATGTCACTGTGGGGGGTCCGGGTCAGAATGTCGCTGTAGGGAGTACGGGTCAGAATGTCACTGTGGGGAGTCCGGGTCAGAATGTCACTGTGGGGAGTCTGGGTCAGAATGTCACTGTAGGGAGTCTGGGTCAGAATGTCACTGTGGGGAGTCCAGGTCAGAATGTCACTGTGGGGAGTCCGGGTCAGAATGTCACTGGGGAGTCCGGGTCAGAATGTCACTGGGGAGTCCAGGTCAGAATGTCACTGTAGGGAGTCTGGGTCAGAATGTCACTGTAGGGAGTCCGGGTCAGAATGTCACTGTGGGGAGTCCGGGTCAGAATGTCACTGTGGGGAGTACGGGTCAGAATGTCACTGTGGGGGGTCCGGGTCAGAATGTCACTGTGGGGGGTCCGGGTCAGAATGTCACTGTGGGGAGTCCGGGTCAGAATGGCACTGTAGGGAGTCCGGGTCAGAATGGCACTGTAGGGAGTCTGGGTCAGAATGTCACTGTGGGGAGTCTGGGTCAGAATGTCACTGCAGGGAGTCCAGGTCAGAATGTCACTGCAGGGAGTCCAGGTCAGAATGGCACTGTAGGGAGTCCGGGTCAGAATGGCACTGTAGGGAGTCCAGGTCAGAATGTCACTGCAGGGAGTCCGGGTCAGAATGTCACTGCAGGGAGTCCAGGTCAGAATGTCACTGTAGGGAGTCTGGGTCAGAATGTCACTGTGGGGAGTCTGGGTCAGAATGTCACTGTGGGGAGTCCGGGTCAGAATGTCACTGTGGGGAGTCCGGGTCAGAATGTCACTGCAGGGAGTCCGGGTCAGAATGACACTGCAGGGAGTTCGGGTCAGAATGTCACTGTGGGGAGTCCGGGTCAGAATGTCACTGCAGGGAGTTCGGGTCAGAATGTCACTGTAGGTAGTCAGGGTCAGAATGTCACTGTGCCAACTTGTGGATAGCATGTCCTCGTTCCCCAAGGCATGGATTGTTGATAAAAAATTGATAATTGGATTGACTGGTCCAGACTTGATTATTGACAGGCCACCATGTTATTGCTGTAGTAATGGTGATTGCGGCATAAAACAGCAAACACTAGTTTATATTGATATAGATGTTTAGATTCTGGTTGTCATTGATTCTGGTTTTCATTGATTCTGGTTTTCATTGATTCTGGTTGGCTTTTGGTAGTGAATGGCAGTTGATTGTGATTGGCTGTTGATTGTGATTGACTGTTGATTGTGATTTGCTGTTGATTGTGATTGACTGTTGATTCTAGTTGTTGATTGTGATTGGCTGTTGATAGTGATTGTGATTGACTGTTGATTCTGGTTGTTGATTGTGGTTGGCTGTTGATTGTGATTGACTGTTGATTCTGGTTGGCTGTTGATTGTGATTTTGGCTGATGATTGTGACTGGCTGTTGATTGTGATTGACTGTTGATTCTGGTTGGCTGTTGATTGTGATTTTGGCTGTTGATTGTGATTGGCTGTTGATTGTGATTGACTGTTGATTCCGATTGGTTGTTGATTCTGGTTGGCTGTTGATTGTGATTGGTTGTTATTGTGATTGGATGTTGATTTCGATTGGTTGTTGATTCTAGTTGGTTGTTTTCAGGACTTTGTGATCATCAAGACGTCTCCCAAGAAGAAGCGAGTTTTAACAGAGCACCAGAAGGAGGTGATGAAGGAGAGGAGGTGAGTTATCTCATCACATTTATTCCTGGTAGTTTTACCCCACACAAGTTACACCCTATTGGGATAATGGCGGATGGATGCGGATGCGAGTCTCGAGCGATGCACAAAAGTGTGTCGGCCTTAATCATGAAAGTATGTCCCAGTCAAGCTGTCGTAACATGCACATTTTGCTGTCCAAAATTTTGTTGTTGGAAGAAGTTGTGGCCATTCTGGGCGCCTTATTGTCAGGCCTGGGAACCCAATACAGTGAGAGCTCCCATAATGTGTCCCCCATAAACTGGCCGAAGTAGCACCATGGTGGTAGCAATTCCCTGTATTCTGTGCTCATGAAGATCTGATTAATAGTCTTGCTGAGCGTGTGTGTGTTTGTTTCCAAATGAGTGGATTTTTGCTATTAAATTTTGTCGGTTCAGCTTGAAACAATTTTTTTTTAAATATGTGTTTTGTTTTCCCCAACAACCCTTATCTGGAGCCCCGGATCTTGGACCTCACTTCTTTGTTTTCTGGAGTTCCACCCTACCTTTTTTCAAATTTGATGCCAATAGTGTATATTTTTGCACTTATGTAGATATATCACTCATTATGATCAATATGGTGACACTGTTGTCATTTGAAACAAGGCTTTCACTGACACTGCACTTGCCATTTTTCGAAACGGGTGGTCGGGTGGCCGAGTGGTTAAAGCGTTCGCTCGTCACACCAAAGTCCTGGGTTCAATTCCCAACATGAGTACAATGTGTGAAGCCCATTTCTGGTGTACCCCACCGTGATATAGCTGGAATATTGCTAAAAAAAATGCGGTGTGAAACCATACTCACCCACTCATTTTTTGAAACAAAGAAGTGTGAGAAAAACAAACCGGATGAGCTGGTGTATTCAGAAAACACATAGTTTATTTTGTTGCCTTACTGTTGATCCTGACAGAATTGTTTCCCTCACTCACTGATCCCCTCACTCATTGGTCCTCCCCAGGACAATCCCGGTGATGTACAACAACCTTGACCTCTCCCAGGACGTGTCGCTCATGGCCTCGCAGTTCAACACTGACACACAGCAGGAGTGAGTACATCTGCACAGCACACAGGATAATAATCGGCTTTAGAATCCATACTCTTGATATAAATTTGAAGTTTTCCGATTTTATATGTGTTTCTCATTTTATGGAGGCACACCGCTTTTTACGTAAATACATCTATGTATCTATATATTTTTTCAATAAATTGCATCGATTACTCTTATTATTTTATACATTATTTTTAGGCCACTATCATATAGCTAGAATCAGAGCTCCAGATAAGCTTTTGGTGTTGTGGGTATTTTACCCATGCATTTTAAAATCACTGCGTATCAGTAATTCTAACTGGGTATTCAAATTTCTGTTACCCACTAGTTTTTACACATGTGGGTATTTAAGTTAAATATTTAAAAACACTATTCATCTAGTCCCTGCAAACTGGTGTTGTGTGGGTTCGAGAGCTTTATAGGACTCAAAAATACCACGATACTTCCACAAGAAAGTGTGATGGCAAATGATCATGATGTAACTGTCATCGTGGAGTTTGGCAAGGTTGACGGAATGCCCGTTTATAATTTCAAATTAGTTGCTGATTTGCCAATCGAATACGCAGGGTTACTTCACAATATTTTGAATATATGCACACGTTTTATTTTTGTAGTGTATCTGTAATGTTCGTTGCGTATTTGATACGCTTGGATATTATTTTACTGCATATTTCTGCATTTCTGATGCGTATTTTACGCAGATACGCAGCTTATCTGGATCTCTGTAGAATAGTGCCGAGTGCAGGGTTATATAGTAAACAAACAAACTAATATGTGTGGGTTCGAGTGTGTAAAGTAAGTTAATGTTGTTCTCTTCAGTTCCATCATGATGCAGACACAGCCACCGTCGGAAGATTCAGTCATAGTCATAAATTCAAGCCAGTCACAAAACCTCGAACACGACAAGGTAAGAAGTGGGCCATAATCAGAAACTTGTCAGGAATATACAAATTGCGTTTTGATGGGATATAATTTTCCAAGCTGAAAATTAAGTCATCTATGCTGTGCAGAGTTGCCTCCCCTAGGCATGCTGGGATCCTATGTTTGAGGGTTCAGATCTTGATTTGCCCTGATTATGATTGTCAGCATCATACCTGTGCTCGTTTTCACACACATTATACACAGTATAACTAAAATACTACTCACTCACTCACTCACTCGACCTGTGAAGACGGGGGCTAGAATAGGTCTTTAGCAACCCATACTTGCCATAAAAAGCGACTTTGCTTGTCGTAAGAGGTGACTAAAAGAAAGGTTGGTCAGGCTCGCTGACTTTGTTGATGCATGTCATTGTATCCCAAATGCGTGGATCAGTGCTAAAGATGTCAATCACTGGATTGTCTGGTCCAAACTTTATTGTTTACAGACCACCGTCTGAAGCGTTAAGCAACAAACACACAATCTCACTGACTCCAATGTGGTCTTTGCTTTCAGAGTAAATCCTCTGTGCCCAAATCTTCAAGCACGGAGTCTCTTGCGGATGATCCCACGTCTGATGTGAAGAGAGGACGCAGGCGACGGTCAGTCCGATTCAGCAATGATGACAGCCAGGAGAAGGAGGGAGAGAAGGCGGAGATGAAGAGCCCCCCCAGTGCAACCCCAACTCTCCGGTCACTCAGGTCGAGGAAGGATACAAAACAGTCTGACGAGGATCAGAAGTCAAATGAGAAAGAACTGACATCAACAGAAAAGAAATCCACCAAGATTGATTGTGAAAATTCAAAAGATAAGGAGGCTGACAAAGATTCAAGATCAAAAGTGACTAAAGATGCTGAGTTGGTCAGTTCAAGCGTTAATATCGACTCCAGTGACCCCTCACCGAGTCCCTCCTTGAAGCAGAACCTCATGCACGCGCTCGGAGATCAGTGGTTGAATACCCTGAAAAGTACATCAAGTTCGTCCCTGGGGAAAAGTGATTCTTCAGAGGAGAGCAGATGTGGGGAAGAATCGGTGAGAGAATCGGGGAATTCTACAAGCAGCTCCCAGAATTCACAGGAAGGAAGTGGGGAACATTTCAGTCCATTCAAGTCAATCAGTCAGTCGCCACCTGAACGGAAGTCAAGGTCACCGGGGAGGAAGACTCTCAGCCAGGAGGTGACAAGTTCCGCGAAATCACCCACTAGGAGCCGGGATCGTAGTAAAAGTTCTCAAGCTGGTAGCTTAGATAAATGGTTGGTGAAGTCGCCAGCCAAAGGTAAAAGTTGTGTGATAGATGCCAAGTCTCCGGAGGACTCATTCGTTCCAGATACTCAGTTGTCGACCACAATGGAGGTGTCCCTGTTACACTCTGTAGTTGAAGATACAATGTCTCCTTCGAAGGGCAAGCATATGGCAAACAAGTCGTCACACTCATTCGTTGAAGACACACAGTCTCCCTCAAAGTTTAGTCAAAAGAATTTGTTCTCCCCAGATATTAATGCTTCGATTGAGGAGACTCCAGTAAAAGATTCATCCAATATTCTGCCCGGTCCGTTATCACTACCCTCAAGTCGCAACTTGTTCGGGGAATGTGACAAGGTTGCAAGTCAGGACCAAGAATCGGATGACAAAGAGACGGACGTTAAGCTCGGCACGCCTGTTTTGAAAATCAAGAAGCTGACAACTGAAGAGATCAGTGTGCTGTCCCATGGATCTCCCGAAAAGGCAGTGTCAAAAGCTCTGTTCAAAGAACCGTTGTCAGTTTGTGAAGGTGGCACGTCGGAAGGCAAGGATGTTCCGTGTTCTCAAGGGTTTCCGACAGCAGAGACAAGTGAGGACCAGGAAACTATGGAATCCCAGTTCAGTCCTGTGTTTCCAAGGATATCGAGTGAGAGACCAGACTCTCAGATATCTATCAATTCTGATCCTGAGTTGCCTGGCATTTTGAGCTTTGGACAAAGAGAGGAGTTGATAAATGCATCAAGTTCATCCTCAAACTACAGCGTCAGTGTCCTCAATGCCGATTCGGTTAAAAGTAGTTCTCAAGATTCTGCTTCTCAAAATTCTGGGTTATCCAAAGACAAAGAGGTGGGTCTGGACGCAGGGGACAAATTTACAGAAGAGCTGTTCGAAACATGTCCAACTGACACAGTGGATGCATACAACCCGGACTCAGTATCTACTTTGAAGGAAGGGTCATCCCAGAGTACGACAGATTCAAGCAGCTCTCAGAGCACCAGCTCCAGCCAGAGCTCACAAGCAAGTGCAGTGGAGACTGTTCTGTCTGAAGGGTCGTACAAGGTCGACCTTGTGTCCACTCTGGCTGAAGAGCCTGCGTCAAGGAGGAGGAAGCAGGATACGCCGAAGAAGATGGGTCTGGAAGATTTGAGGAGGACTCCGAGACAGAGGAAGAAGAAGACGTTCGATGGTTTTGAGGTTGATGGAATCTCCAAGTCTGAGAGTTCGACTGAGAGTACTGCTTCCAGAAAGGTTGGTAGACCACCTAGTGCGAAGAAGAGGCTGGAGAAGTCTTCTGAGGATAATGAGAGCTCTCAGGAGAAGGGTGCTGAGAAGGAGGAAGATGTGTTGGTAAATGGAAAAGAGGAAGTGAAGAAGAAGGTTGGACGACAAAGAAAAGGATTGAAAGAAATTGACCAGAGTGACAGTTCTCAGGAGAAGATTGTTGAGAAAGAGGAAGATCTGTTGCTTATTGGGAATGAGGAGAAGGGGAAGAAGAAGGGTGGACGACGAAAAGTTGATATTTCTAGTTCACAGTCAGGGGAGGACAGTCAGGAAAAGAATGAACCCAGAAGAGGAAGAAAACGAAAAGCTGATGAGGAAGAGGATGAGGAAGAAGATGATCTTCCTCTTTCTCAACTTAGTCAATCAAAGTCCGCATCGAAGAGGCAAGGAAGAAGTAAAACTGATTCAGAGGAAGCTGAAGAGAAGACAAAAGAAGCACCCAAGAGGAAGAGAACGAGGAAGAGCCTAGCTGCTGAGATGACAGAGTCTGAAAACCTTGAGTCTCAAAGGAGGAAGTCACAGAGTAGCCAGGAGTCCGTGGATGTATTGGATCAGGAGAAAGCTGATTTGGGCCAGGACTGTAAGCAGAAGGAAGGGGTCGATTCTATCGCTGATGTTGATGGGGAGACCAAATCTGATTCCCAATTGAAGCAGGCTAGGAATCCAGTTCAGGCTGTGACTGCAGCCTGTCTAGGAAGCTCTAGTTCCAGTTCTGGAGGTGATGCTTCTGCTCCCTCTCAGGGAAAGAAACCGAGAAGGATTCAACCCCAGATGGTTGAACCGAGTCAGGAAATGATTCATCCTGCATTTACAGGTGCTCCAAAAGACTCACCAATTATTTTGGAGGAAAACCTGAGCGAGAATCCTGAAAGTACTGATTCAAAGGAGAGTGATAGACAGACAGAGGAAAGTCAACAAGGAACAGAAGTTATTATTGTAGGAATGGAGTTTGACAGTTCTAAATCTCTAAATGAGCAGACACCAGAAGAATGCCAGATGTCTAGTGAGGACATTTCCAAGGAGGGAGAGCAGACGCCATCTACCAAGCCGTCCCCAGCCCCTGTAAGGCGGAGTACCACCAAACAGAAGATTGAAGCCGCAAGGAAAAGGTCAATTTCCAAAATGTCAGACAAAAATTCGGAGGATTTGAGTGTCGAAGATGCAAATGAATGGACGGAGAGCAAATGCAGCGCGGCAAAAACAGCTCTGATACAGGAAAAGAAGAATAAGGATATCAAAGAAAGTGATAAACTTGACAGTCAGATAGATGTTATTGAGCCGTCACAGGCTCAGAATAAGTCCCTGTTTGTTAATCTGGACCTGTCGTTTTGTAAGGACTCGCCTCGGGCAGTGGAGCATGACAAAATCAAGGGGAAGGTGGATGAGATAATAAGTAGTTTGGCAAGCCCAGTAGCCCCCGGCAAGGCAGCTCCTCGGGGCAGTAAACGAAAGAGGAACATGTCGAAGTTGAAAGTGTCCTCTCCGGTGAGTGTACGACTGCGGTCCTCGAAACTGGTTCTACGAGCAAGAGCCAAATTAGCAGGTAAATCTGTGTCCAGGGTTTCACCTTTAACTGTGGTTAGAACAAAGAACAGAGCATCTCCCAGACCGAAGAGACTTTTGGAAGAAATAGATTCAAAAATAGAAATGGAAGTTGAGGACACAAAATGTACATTTAAAACAGAGGATGCAGATGGTGTGACTAGCAATTGTGATGTGGTTGCCATGGCAACAGTTGATAATTCTGGTAGTGCTGTAGAAACTGAAAGTGGTTTGGAACAAATTGAAATTGGTTCAGAAAAAACTGAAATTGGTTTAGAGCAAGATAAAACTGTTTCCCCAAAAAAATTAACTGGTTTAGAGCAAAATGAAACTAGTTTAGAAAAAGAAACTAGTTTAGAAAAAGAAACTTGTTTAGAAAAAGAAACAAGTTTAGAAAAAGAAACTGATTTAGAAAAAAATGATACTGGTTTTGGTGCAACTGAAACCGGTGGTGATATAACAAGTCATGCTAGTGCTCCTGTTCGACCCAAGATTGATTCTCTAAATGATACCCCAAGGAAATCAGCCGAAAAACCCAAACGCAAAGTGATCCATGCCCATCGTGGCTTTTCCGATTCCAAAGTGCTGAGCTTGAACAAAATCCGGGCAAGGAACCGGTTGGCTGATCGTGGAATGAGTATCGTGAGGCGCAGTATACTGAAGCAAAAGAATTCGAGCGAAAACAGCAGCCCCTCAAAGAGGCCATGTGACCCTGACTTTCAGCCAATCAAAGTGTTCCAGTTTCATTCACCGAGTGCCTCCCCGAGCGCTGGGATTCTGAAGAAGCGGCGCCTGAACTCCGACATCCCAGTCAACTCTCCCTCCCCACCTTCCAAGGTGAGTGCCAGCAGAGTAGGGGTCCACCATTTTTTATATCCTCAGGGGGGTCTGAGATTTTTAAGAAATTGCGATCTGTTCCCCCAAAATCCGGGGAGGTGAGGAATAATTTGAATTGTTGACAGGCATTACTTGGAAGCTGATGGATGACAAAGTAGAGACACTGTTTAAGTAAAGAAGTTGTTGTCCATAAAATGTGTCTACTTGAAAAATAATTTATTACTGCCTTTTCAAGAAAAATATATCATGGACATGCTTGATCTTCTGAAAATTAATTGTAGCTTGGAAGGTATTGTTTGGGGCCTGCTTTTGCAAAAGATGTGTATGTTTTGAACTCGCTGCAAGAATATTCAGTGTCGGTCTCAAACATATAATCTCTAATATATAATGGTCAGTTCCCTGACCTCAGCATGGTAATCATGAACCTTGTCCTTAACTATTGACCGCCTCCGTGGTCTAGAGGTAGAGCGTCCACCCGGAGAGCGGAAGGTCCGGGGTTTGATCCCCAGCCACGTCATACCAAAAGACGTTAAAAGACGGTACATGTTTTTACCCTGTCTGGCACTCGCCATTAAGGGGCTAAAACAAGGACTGGTCGGCTCGGAGTCAATATACTGTGTCTGAGTGAGCTAGCACCATAAATCGTCATGAGTCCGGACTTGTACAAGCAGCCACATACATACATACATACACGTGCATGCATGTTGCTATATAAGTGCAATACTCTTGGTTGCAACATTCAACCCCATTTCACCTCACCTCAACTTAACAACAGTTTGATCTTAGAAAGGTTAAAGCGTTCACTCGTCACGCCAAAGACCCGGGTTCGATTCCCAACATGGGTACAATGTGTGAAGCCCATTTTTGGTGTCCCCCGCCGTGATATTGCTGGAATATTGCTAGAAAAGGGTGGCATAAAACCATACTCCCTCACTTAATATTATTGACTGGATTTTCTCGTCCACACTTAATTATTCAGCAGCCGCTGTCATATAACTGAAATATTGCTAAGTGTTACACAATAAACAAATATGAACATGAACCTTGTCTTCACCAAAAGTGTGATTGTAATATAACCCTAATCCTTTATCATATCCAGCAGATAAGTTGTTTTCTATCAATTTTGAATTTGTTTGAATTCTTTTACAATGTCATTAAAACGTCATTAAGATAAGGGGGCACGGGTGACCCAGTCGTCTAAAGCGCCGCGATTCGCTGTGCAGAATTGCGTCCCTTGGGCACGCCAGAAACCTATGATTGTGGGTTCGAATCCCGGTTCGCCCCGATTATGTTTCTAGGTTTGTCAGCACCATACCTGTGCTCGTGGGTTTCACCGAAGAGGTAAACGTCTGAGACCTGCATCACTTCAGGCTTTCCTCCCACATTAAGCTGACACGCCGCGATATAACTGGAATACTGTTAAAAGCGGCGTTAAACCCAACTCACTCACTCACTCATTAAGATAAATTTGTTGTAGCAGGATCACTCAGAGTACATGGGGTTTCATGCATCCCTCGTTAGGTTTTATACTACTCGCCTCTGGCTCATGGAATAAAACATAACGCTGGACGCATGAAACTCCATGTACCCCGCGTGATCTTGCTACAACAAATTTATCTTAATGACGCTTTAATGACATTGTAAAAGAAATCAAACAAATTCAAAATTGATAGAAAACAGCTGTTAGATTGAGCTGAGGTTAGCTTACGACTTCCATTGCATACGGCTTTTTGCTTTGAAGCGGGGTATAAGGGATTTATTCTGCTCTCAGAAATCCACATGCAGCCTATTTGTTTGTGGCGGGGTATAAGGGATTTATTCACCCACTGATAAATTTATTCCCCTCCAAGGCGGGGTACATCATATTCTGACATGGAGGTATAAAAATGTTCACGTTTCACATCTGTGCTTACTCACTGACATCAGTTTAGATCTTCAGCAACCCATGCTTGCCGTAAATGGCGACTATGCTTGTCGTAAAAGGTGACTAACGGGATCGGGTGGTCAGGCTCGCTGACTTGGTTGATGCATTTCATCAATCCTTATTGCGTGGATAGATGCTCATGATATTAATCACTTGATTGTCTGGTCCAGACTCGACTGTCATATAGCTGGAATATTGCTGAGTGCGGCGTTAAACAACTGTGGGGAAGGAGCAAGGCGCTGTATTAACCCGCTTGTTTCTTGCAGCGGCGGGTTTCGTTTGCCGAGCCTATCATCAGCGGAGAAAGCCCTCATCGTGGTGTCAGCCTTGACCTCATCAAGTCCCGGAGTGCAGCAGGAAAGGTAACCAATCAGGCGACACTTGTCACACCTGTACACTGTCACATATATAGGACTTAAGTCAGTCCTGCTTTGCCGACACTTTTGTGTCAGCTGACAGTGGCTTCGTCTTGTCTCGCTGTTGGTTTCCTTGCCTCTATGTAGATCCTTCATTCATCAGTTGTGTCTGCTTGCATGTTCTGCTAGTTAAGCTGTGGCTCATCTCGTTGGCCTCTGTTCTGTTTATGATACAAAGTTCAGAGTGGCGTCCCTTGCCAGAATTCTATAGGTTCCAGGAATCATCCTGATTAAGAATATTCGTGTCAGCACCGTACCTGTGCTTGTGGGTTTTGACAAAAGGTAACCAACAGTAGCTCAGCATTTAAAATATCTTTGTGAACTTTGCTTTGCTTGAGGTTTGCTTTGCTTTGCTTGAGGATTGCTTTGTTTAGCTTTGCTTTGCTTGAGAATTGCTTTGCTTTGCTTGAGGCTTGCAATGTTTTGCTTGAGGTTTGCTTTGCTTGAGGATTGCTTTGCTTTGCTTTGCTTTGCTTGAGGATTGCTTTGCTTTGCTTGATGATTGCTTTGCTTTGCTTGAGGATTGCTTTGCTTTGCTTGTTTCATGCCTTTAGTTTGCTTTCCATTTGTTTACAGCAACTGTTCACTTTCCCCCGAAGACCTGCCAGCAGCCTGCGTGTCATCGCCCCACTCAGCAGACCCAAGAAGGTTCATCTTCCAAATCCCATCTTCCACATCCCAGCTTATTAAACGACATGAAGTTAATACTTTTGTCCTAGAAAACAATAAAATAATCTGTTAGGGCATGAAAACTCAAATCGACATTCCTTAGGTCCATTGTCCTAAATTTCACTATTGCTCTAAACAGTATAGATCGACCAGTCATTTTGCCCTGACTAAAGAGAGTGGGTTTCTTCCTGTGTAGCCCATTCTAGTCCATCATGGTCACATTGCTCAAATATTGCCTCTAATGAGGGAGCATCCATTTCATTGGGAGTTGGACAAACTATACATTTGAAACATCTTCCCCAATAAAAATCAAATGGATGCTCCCAAAATGATGTCACTTACCACGTGACTTGTCAGATCTGCTACATGTTTAATTGTTTTCCTTCAATACTAAACCAAACTTTTTGTGCAGACGGTTGTGGACAGTGGAGACTCACAGCCCAGCCAGTCACCGGTCAGCCAATCACCGGTCAGCCAATCACAGGCAAGCTACCGGAGCACGCAGGAGTCGCAACTGAACAGCTCCGACCCCGTCTACCCGGATTTGATTGGCTGCACCGAGTCCGTCACAAAGGTTCTGCCCCAACTGACGTCATCTGTCTGGTGAGATGAACTGTGACACCTCATAACCCTTGAACAGTTTCATATGCTGCAAACCTGTCAAATTCCCCTGTTGGGGTTCCGGGTTAGAATAGGTCCCCAGCAAACTATGCTGGTTGTAAGAGGCCACCAAATTAATCTGGTGGTCAAGCTCGGTGATTTGGTTGAGTGTATGCCATGGTAACCAAATGGTGTGGATGCTGTCATGTACCTGAAATTTTGCTTAGTGTAGCGATAAACAACAAACAAACAAACAAACAAACCTGTCAAACTCAATGGAACCCAAGAGACAGGACCGCCTCTGTGGTCTTGTGGTTGAGCGTCCGCCTGGAGTGCGGAAGGTCTGGGGTTCGATCCCCGGCCGCGTCATACAAAAAGACGTTAAAAGATTGTACTTGTTATAACCCTGTCTGGCGCTCTTCATTAAGGGGCTATAACAAGGACTGGTCGTCTCGGAGTCAGTATACTGTGTCTGAGTGGGGTATTCATGTTAAACTGCGGCATGGTATCTCAGTGAGCTAGCACTATAAATTGGCATCAGTCCATACTAGTACAAGCAGCCACACACATCCCCTAGCATGCACGTCGCTATATAAGTGCAATAATCTTGGACGCGACGTTAAACCCCATTTCACCTCACCTTACCTCACCCAAGAGACAGAGAGGCCAACCTTAATGATTTGGTCGAAACAATCACAATTTTCTGCCTAATGATACCGAGGTTCAAACTGCTAAGGCACCGGTGACATGAAGCATTCTACAGAGAGACTGCTGACCAATGACAGCCATGCTTTCAATTCACATAGTGTTAACTATTCATTACTCAGTCATACAAGGTCTTTGAGTGGCTACTTTGTTAAAACAGACTCAAGTCATTTTGTTACCATGGTACTTTTATCATTACACTTTTTCACATGAAATTACTCCTTTTTTTTACCCAAAAGCGTCAATTCCAAAGCTTTGATTATACCAAAGCTTCAAATAGGGTTGTGTATGAAGCTTATTTCTGGTGTCCCCCGCCGTGATATTGCTTGAATATTGCTCAAACTCACTCACTCAATTGGGGTTGGCCTCATTATAAAATATAGAGGATATTTTGGTTGCATTTTCACTTTGCAATGCATTTTAACTGTTCAGGTCGCGCGGTCTGGGGCAGCTCGTGATGGCACGCAACATCCACACTGTTGGAGATCTCAGCAAACTGACAGAGGTCGACATCCACAATCTCCCTATCAGGTCACCAAAGGTCGTCACTGTGCGCAGAGTTCTGCATGACCTTGAACAGCACCTTGAGGTCAAAAGGTCAAAGGATGTCAAGGCCACAGATTCGGAGTCGGATCAAGAGGACAAGGCTGAAAGTGCAGTTTTCAAAGGTAAAGGCTGGTGTATATTTTTCAAACTGTACCTGTTAAGAATTAAGGCTGGTTTCTCAAAGGGATTTTAGCTCTATAGTTCTCTCCATTTGTAGCATCAGTGTTGACATATTTTTGGTGAAGGTGTTTCGCTCATCACACCTAAGGCCTGGGTTTGATTCCTAACATGGTACAATGTGTGAAGCCCATTTTGAGTGTCCCTCATCATAATATTGCCGGAATATTGCTAACGGTGGTGTAGAATCCATCTCGCGTACTCACACACTCTCACATATATTTTTATGGTGTTGATTGTATTTCATTGAAATATGAATAGGCCTGAACATGTTTGTTGCGATCAACTTCTAGTGTCATAAGCTTCATAGGCTGGAGTAGCAACGTTCTCAGGTTGAATTCTGTAGCTATTTTCTTAAGGATAATTTTGTAGTTACATTCTTTAGGCTAATTTGTAGCTATTTTCTTAAGGACAATTTTGTAGCCACTTAAGGCTAATTTTGTGCCTCTTCTTAGGCTAATTTTGTAGTTATTTTCTTTAGGCTAATTTTGTAGTTATTTTCTTTAGGCTAATTTTGTAGTTATTTTCTTAAGGATAATTTTGTAGTTATTTTCTTTAGGCTAATTTTGTAGATTTTTTAACTTATCCTGCATTACTCCGTATTGCATTTACTGCTATGTTTGACAGAGAGACGAACTGTGTGAGATCCAGCTGCTGAAGAAAGTTGTCCCAACCAGCCCAGGAGGCAGCGCCCTCTCACAGTCGGCACGTGACCCGGAAGTCATGACGTCACACCAAAAGACATAACTGCTTTGTCACCTCCACGGACGGACGTACTTTGTATCCCTTGTGGAAATTAAAGCTTATTATTTGTTTTTTATATTTTGCGTGTTTCTACATTCATTATATGCTGCTACATTGTTACCTGTTATGGGCCGTGACCTTAGGGTCTTCCCATTCGTAAATTGTAACGTTTATCGCTCGTCTGTGGCTCACGTCACAGTAATTTACGGGCGCAATGTTGTTCCCGCCATTTTGTTTTCTTTCCCGCCATTTTGGTCATTCACCACGTGGCCACGTAATGTCGTGTTCTGCGTTTTGAATTCTCTCTTTGGCTTGGGTAATACATTACATTTATGTATGTTGTTTTGGTGTGCTTAAAGCCTTGCCTTTTCGCTACCTCTCAGCGTAATTGTTTCTTCTCATAAACTTCAATATAATACGAAGTTTATGAGTTACATTATGTCTCCCGTACTCTGTGGTTTTGCCACATGGTTACGTGTTTGCTTAAGGCTTTGCCTTTTCGCTCCCTTTTAGCGTACTTGTTTATCTCATAAACTTTAATAAAATATACTGTTTTTGAGTTACTTTATGCTTCCCATACTTTGTGATTGGCCACACATTATGCTTCCCGCACTTTGTGGCTTTGCCACATAGTTATGTTTTGCTTAAATTCCAGATTTTCTGCCTCGCTGCACTTGTTTCCGCGGGAACAAATCTGGTCGGGGCCGCCCCTTTCTGCCGTGATTGTACGACGCCCTGTACTTTCACAAGGCAGTGCCGATGTTGCAGTCATTCGTCGCTGTGATCCTTCAGCTCATGCGAGTATCCAGGACACACCTCGCTCAACGTGCTCGTCGACCCCCACCTACGTTGACGGCAGCAGCGCTCAGCGGAGCTTCACGGCGGCTCCCAACGTAGAGTCTGCCTCCCATGGCACGACATACGACCGTTCACGGTCTCCTACTCCACCGGCGGCTCCAGCGCTCCCAACGTAGAGTCTGCCTCCCATGGCACGACATACGACCGTTCACGGTCTCCTACTCCACCGGCGGCTCCAGCGCTCCCAACGTAGAGTCTGCCTCCCCTGGCACGACATACGGCCGTTCACGGTCTCCAACACCGTCAACGCTGATGTCTCCGGCGCCCCCGGCGCCTCCGATGACTCGGCGCCTCTGATGACGCGGCGCCTCCGGCGCCTCTGATGACGCGGCGCCTCCGGCGCCTCTGATGACACGGCGCCTCCGGCGCTCCCGGCACTCCCGGCGCTCCCGGCGCTCCCGGCGCCTCCGGCGCCTCTGATGACGCGGCGCCTCCGGCGCCTCTGATGACACGGCGCCTCCGGCGCCTCTGATGACGCGGCGCCTCCGGCGCTTCTGATGACTCGGCGCCTCCGGCGCCTCCGATGTCTCGGCGCTCCCGGCGCCTCTGATGACGCGGCGCTCCCGGCGCCTCCAGGGCTCCCGGCGCCTCCGGCGCTTCTGATGACTCGGCGCCTCCGGCGCCTCCGATGTCTCGGCGCTCCCGGCGCCTCTGATGACACGGCGCTCCCCGCGCTCCCGGCGCCTCCAGGGCTCCCGGCGCCTCTGATGACGCGGCGCCTCCGGCGCCTCTGATGACACGGCGCCTCCGGCGCTTCCGATGACTCGGCGCCTCCGGCGCCTCCGATGTCTCGGCGCTCCCGGCGCCTCTGATGACACGGCGCCTCTGATGACGCGGCGCTCCCGGCGCCTCTGATGACTCGGCGCTTCCGATGACTCGGCGCCTCTGATGACTCGGCGCCGCTGATGTCTCGGCGCTCAACAAGCTTCATGACTTGTTCATGACAAGCTGATAACTCGGCGCCGCTTATGTCTCGGCGCCTCTGATGTCTCCGCGCTCCGGCGCCTCCGCATCCTCTGATGTCTTCGGCGCTCAACAAGCTTCAGATCAACAAGCTTTATCAAGCTCAGATCAACGAGCCGACCATCCGATCTTCTACTGCGGCTTAAGGGGCACCATCGGCAATCGCCTCCCCGGCGCCACTGCCCTCTTCTCTTGCTGCCGTCTCATAACTCGTCACACGGAGAAGCATGGTGAAACAACTGTCGCCGCTCCTTTCGCTACTCTCCCGTCGGTCTTCGGGATCGTGACTATCGTTCTACTTCCTGGGTGGAATCATTTCAACCAATAGACAGTTGGTCTGATTCAACTTGCCCACTGAGACGTTATCCATAATCCCGTCGTTTAAAGCGCTATGATTCCGGAGAGATAACCTGCGGGTTTCCATCGAAACAGAGCGTCATGTGAACAGCGTCTGTATCAGATTCGACGACGACATCCACTTACAAAGAGTTTACTTCGTCGACATCGCAGACATCAACGCTGTTCTACCCTACCCTAGCGCCAGCGTTCCTGAGAGAGACTCTTCCTCGGCGCTCCCCGGGTTTTCCACGACGCCCATGGGGTTCCGTGTTTTATCGCAAAACTCGGGTACACCACTTGATCGTCTCTCACACAGTTCATTGAGGATTGTCTGTGTGTGGAGTTTGCACCTCAGTTCCGACTCCAAGGCGGTTTTCTCGGCTACTGCGCAGAGTGATTTACATGTCACGTGTCAAGTACTCGGACTGTCAACAACTCCGACCGGATTTAGGTCAACTTACCATGGCAAGGGGTGCCATGTATTTCTACAGATTGCTTTCCATGTCTACCTGTACGCTTGGTGATACCACTCAACCAGGCGCCTGTCGCAGTCCATCCATGCACGGATGTTGGAAACAATAGACCTCCTCTACCAACACGGCTGTCACGAGGAACCTTGTTTCATCAACCCTTCGCTATAAGAACGATAGCGCCTATAGGCGTTCAAGGGATGGAAAAGATCGCCTTCCTTCGTCCGGTTTGATCTTTTCGACTACGACAGGTAGTCCTATCTTCCGCCTTGACTACCGGACACAGTGTCGATTTGATACTTAAAGTCCCTCGGCCGTCCCACTGACCCCTGTTGCATACCTGCCTCGTATCGTGTTGTCGTCCTCCATCGTCACCTCGATATAAGAACAGGAGTACTTATACGCCGCTTCAGGGATGAAAACGATCTCATTACTTCGTGCAATGGCCATATTGCCTCGACTTCCTACTACCCGGTTACGTCGATGCCCCGGCGGTCGATTGTGAAGCTGGTTTACTTCGTCTACTTGAGGTTGGCTCGCAGGCGATCACACCTTTTTTCCGAATCGTACCGACGGTACGCAATCGCAGACCCCTGTTGCTGACTACCTTCCCTGCCACCTTGTCAGTGGCTAGTGGCCCACGCCAGCCCACATTGTGACCACCTGTGATCCAGAGATCAACACCATTGGCACAGCAACAGCCTCGAGATAAATGCTTATCCAGGACGGCACTTGCTGACAGTGCATTCTCGGTCACGCCCTGTTGATCGTGTCCACTGACGACGTCACCGTAGTGTGGTGTTTGCGGACCCAGAGTTCTCGCCCCTCTCCCGGCGCCACAAACTCGACTGGCGCCCCCGAGAATCACCATCTTCGGCGTTCCAGGCGCCTCAAGCTCTCCGACGCCTCACGCTCTCCGGCGCCTCGGGCCAGACTATGTGAAACGGTCGACACCCCAACCCTAGATCTGTTTGCCTCATATCTGAATGTGGCCAGCTGTCGTCTTCCATTCCACCTGTGCCGGATACGACCGCTGTGGCAGTCGAAGCCTTCCATCGTTCCTGAGAAGGATTACGCGCGTACGCTTTTCCGACTCCGGTTCTCCCTCCCACGGTTCTTCAAAGATCCAGGCCACTCGACCCCTGCCATTGACTTTGGTCTCGCCTTATTGGTCAGCCAGAAGTTGGGTTATCGACCTCCGAAACATAGCCAGAGACAACCCCTGGAACTTCCGGTGTGGTCCAACCTTCTGCTCCATCCACACGGTCTGTTGCCACACCCTCATACCCGCATGTTATCGTCTGCACGCCTGACACACATGCAGAAAGCCAAGGGCTATTCGGCTAGAGCGACCAAGGCTATTGCTTCAGCCCACCGTCCATCTACAGGGGGACTGTATGCTGATAACTGATGCTTGTTCCAGGCATTTTGTTCTGACAAACACCAGGATCCGATGACAGCGTCACCGCAGATCCTGGATCAGTTCCTTCTGTACTTGTGTAGCACCCATCGGTTGAAGGGCTTACCACCCCCACATACCTGGTCGCCATCTACTCCGTTCTGGCCATCCCGGACGATCGGAGAAAGACGAAAATTCCCGACCTACGGGCCTGGCTGCGCTCGTTCAGTCTTGAAGACCTGAAGACCAAGTTCGGACCGCCTGCGTTGGATCTGAATGTGGTCTTCAATACCCTTCGAACCACTCCCCTCGTCTTCCTTCTTCGACCTTAAGTAGAAGACGGGTGTTTCTACTGGTTTTGACTACTGCCGCTCGAGTCCATGTACAGCACGCCCTCGACGCCTCCCATGCCCGGTTCGAATGCGGTACCCGCAGGGCGCCGTTCATCATGGACCGTACTGGGACGTCAGCGTAAAGATTCAACTCCCAGGACAGCCTGATAGATCATTCCTTGTCCCCTCCCCCCTCGTCCAGTGTGGGTGCCGAGGATGAGGATGAGCGTCATTATGCCCAGTAAGGGCACTGAAGGTTATTCTACGATCTAAAGACTGCCGCAAGTCTAGGAAACACCTTTTTCTGCCGGTCTCCCCTTCGTCGCTGTCGTTGGTCAGCCGGAATACTTTTCCCTGTGGCTCCGGGCGGTCATCCTTAAAGCGTATGAGCCGCCGGATTGGACCCTCCCCCCAAAGGCTATTACCTGAAATAAAATGAGATCAGGGCGATCGTATTTACACTGGTTCTTCACGGTATACTGTTCCATCCCGTCGTTCAGGGAAGCCTGCTCGTGGCGATCGGACACCGCCTTCACCAACCACTACTTCCGTGATGTAGCCTTGAAAGTTGTCGCCGGCGTTCACAGTTTTGGTCCCTGGTTGTAGCCCAACAGGTCATCTATCTCCGACGCCACTGATTCTCCGATACCCTGAGCGGGGCCCGTCGACCTTTCTGGTGTTTATCACCCCAGACGAGACGGCTCTCTTGCGTTCCGCATTCGCTCTTAGGTCAGTTTTAGTTTTGGGTTACCCGACTCATTCTATTGCTGTCACCTATCCGGGTTTTACTTTTTGCATCAACTCTCGTTTCCTGACGACAGGAATGGTAGTAGATGTGGTCACCGGCGCCGACGCCAACGCCAACGCCGCTGCTTCTCTGGTACCTGAGCGGTGCCCGTCGACCTCACCGGTGTTCCTTGCCTCCAGCCTAGAGGGCTCTCCTGCGTTTCGCATTCGCTCTTGGGATTGGTCGTAGATTTTGCCGCCGACGCCGCTGATTCTTCGATTCCCCGAGCGGGGCCCGTCGAACTCTCTGGTGTTTATCACCTCAGATTAGCTCTAGGTTCTACTGCGTTTCGCTTTCGCTCTTCGGTAAGTTATATATTTTGGCTACACGCCTCATTGTATTTCGGTTACCTATTCGGGCGTTTCGTTTTTGCATCGACTCTTGTTTCCTGAAGACAGGAATGGTCGTAGATGTTCCGGTCATCACTTGTATGCGGTGCGGATTCATCGGACCTTGACGAGGGTTTAATATGGTTCACATCTGCAAGTATGCCCACCGGCCAAGCCGTCTGATAAAGATGCAATACGGAGTAATGCAGGATAAGTTAAAAAATTTAGTAAAATCTAAATATTTTTTACATTTGTATACTTATCCTGCATTACGAAGTCTAAGTTCCCTCCCTTTCGCTACGCTACCTCCCCACGAAGTTTCAGATGTTATGTTTAAAGCAGTTATGTCTTTTGGTGTGACGTCATGACTTCCGGGTCACGTGCCGACTGTGAGAGGGCGCTGCCTCCTGGGCTGGTTGGGACAACTTTCTTCAGCAGCTGGATCTCACACAGTTCGTCTCTCTGTCAAACATAGCAGTAAATGCAATACGGAGTAATGCAGGATAAGTATACAAATGTAAAAAATATTTAGATTTTACTAATTTTTTTCTTTTGGATAATTTTGTAGTTATTTTCTTTAGGATAATTTTGTGTCCACCTTCTCAAGGATAATTTTGTAGCCACTTTCTTAAGACTAATTTTGTAATTATTTTCTTAGGATAATTTGTTGTAATATATTTTTAGGCTGATTTTGTAGCAATTTTCTTGAGGTTGATTTTGTGGAAACTTTCTTGAGGCTAACTTTGTAGTAATTTGCTTGAGGCTAATGTAGTAGTAATTTCGAGACCTGTGAACATTCGGGAACAGAATAGGTCTTCAGTAACCCATGCTTGCAGTAACAGGCGACTAAGAGTCTAACATGTGGTAAGAGCCAACTGAAGGGATTGGGTGGTCAGGCTCGCTGACTTGGTTGATGCATGTTATCGTATTCCATTTGCGTGGATCGATAGTCATGATGTCAATCACTAGATTGTCTGGCCCAGACTCGATTATTTACAGACCGCTGTCATATAGCTGGATTATTGCTGATTGAAGTGTTAAACAACAAACTAGCAAAAGTAATTTCAAACTGTATTTCTGCAACTGTTTGTTGATAGTACCGAGCGTGACCCCCATGCAGTCACTGGATACAATAGAGGAGGACGGCGAGACGGAAACGAAGGAGCCCCGTGAGGAGGAACCCGACTCCCTCCCTGACATGGAGGTCGCTCTTGATGAACTCGTGCCCAGAAACGGTAAGAATGTTTGGTTCATTTGGATTCACAGGGATTGACAGTGTTTGGCGTATTCTCCACTCATCAACCTATGCTTGTCGCCCCAACAGGATTACAGTCGCCAGCAACACATGCTTGTCGTAAGAGGCAACTAACAGGATCAGATTGTCCAGACTTGGTTGATGCATGTCACCATGTCCAAATTGCATAGATGCTCATGATATCAATCATTGGATTGTGTGGTCCAGACTCGATTATTTACAGACCGCTGTCATATCGCTGGAATATTGCTGAGTGCGGCGTTAAACAACAAACAAACAAACTTACCAACTTCTAAAACTGCATTTGATATATCTGACATTTCAATTCTTCAATTTCAATTTTTCAGCGGATGACGAACTTAACAGCAGTATTGAAGCGGAGCCTGAAGGGACAGTGGAGAGTGCAATCGAGTCATGTGACCAACCAAATAGCCAATCACAGAGCACAGCCAGTTCTAGCCAATCAGATTCAGTGTTTCTAACAGACTCAGTAGCCGATGCCCAAAGAGGGCCTACACAGACTCTGGAACTTGTTTCAACTGCTGTCAGTGCTGAAGATCATGGTGCCAATCTTGCAAAGGTTCTGGAATCTCTTGTGAAAGAAAATGACTATAAGCGTCTCCAGAAGATGAGGACTGGAGACCTCTTCCAGGTTCATCAGCACCTCACACATCTGTCAAACATTGTTGTCACGGCGATGAAGAGTCGATGCCATTCGCCCACTAATTCCCAGTGAGTCGTTGATACTGGGGATCGGGGGGTTAGGATGACCGGAAAAGCAACTTCGCATCACTAACCAGTCTTCAGATGACAGGATGGTTTGATGGACAACGAGCTCAACTATCGTATTATATTATGCCAAATCTTTCACAAAAGTACACATGGAGTCGCGACCAAGGTTACAAGAATTGTATCAGAACAGAATTAATTGGTTATTATGTTGAAAGTAGTTCTAAAGTGATTTTTCTTACGGTGCAAGATTCAAAATATGTTTATATATTTTTTGTCAGATTGGTCATTGACTGTTGTTGAAATACAAGACCAACAAAGGACAACCTGGATATTCAGTTCTATACATGGACCCATTCGTTACACACGTTTGTTTGAAAGTGACAACACCGTTGCCAATATTCTAATCTGTGGCAGATTATCCCTGGCACAGGAGTGTGATTTGATGCAAGGCTATTTCAAGGATGGCATGACAGTATATAGGTCAAATGATTGAAACACTGGTATGACAGTATATAGGTCAAATGATTGAAACACTGGTATGACAGTATATAGGCCAAATGATTGAAACACTGGTACATAGTGCCAAAGGGGGCACCTGTTGCCCACTCATCTAGGGCACCTGTGTTCACTGTGCAGAGTTACATCCCTTTGGTGTGCCAGGAACCTATGATAATTTGCCCTAAGGTTTGTTGCACCATGTCGGTGATTGTGTGTTTAATTAAAGTGTAAACGTCTAAGACCTGCATCACTTTGGCTTTCCACCCACCTTTAGCTGACTCACTGTGACAAAACTGAAATACTGTCCAAAACGGCCTCAAACCTCCCAACTTTAGCAATGTAGATTGGTGCTCACACTATCAACCACTGGTTTTGTCAGGATTTAGTCTCCTCAGTGGATTGATTCACCAGACATTTATTCACTGTTCAGGGTTAGAACTAAACTCAAAACGTTTTACTAGCCCGATAAATATAACTTGCACTGTTAAAACAAGGTGGAAATTGTGAATTTGTACTAGCCCACAGCAATTTGTGCTAGCCTCAGACTAGCGGGTAGTGTTAAATCTAACCCTGCAGTGTTGATGATATTTCAAGATTTAATGTACCGTTATTTATTGGAGTGATTTTAATAGTTTTAATCTTAGTTCTGTGGTCGGCATGAAACGTCCATCAGACGAAGGAGGACTTTTCAGTTGCATGTCTTTGTCAATCATGATTCTGGAGAGTTAAGTGGATTTAAGAAGAATTATTTTCATCCAGTTTTTTTTTCTATCAATTTTGATACAGGTTAAGAGGAATAAATATGCATCATTAGAAATATTTATTAGATGTGTGGGCGATACCTTCAATGCTTCTCTGGTTTCTATGCACCATGTTCCTCCATCGCGAGTGAAAACATGGCCGCTGTGAAGAGTACTCGTGGTAAGCATACCTGACTTTAGTGTCGTAATGAAATCAGACCACATACAGTGTATAGCCTCTACTGGTGTGAGTGCCACCATCTCCTGCCATGAGGGACTGACCAGGTCATATTCTGGGGAGGGCTGGGTGTGGGGGAATTTTATCGGGAAAAAGAATTTGTCTGCCACAGAAAGTACATTGTTACAAGAGGATCATAATTGAAAACATTAATCAGCTGTTGATGAATAACTATCTGGTCGAAATCCCTAGCCCAAGGATATCAAATAGTCAGTCCCTTCAGTACTGTATTGAGCAGATGGCTGTAAGGCTTGGCACATATTGCACAGTTGTTGATTGATTGATTGATTGATTGACATGCTGGGTCCAGGACTTGATTGATTGATTGATTGATGGACATGCTGGGTCCAGGACTTGATTGATTGATTGACATGCTGGGTCCAGGACTTGATTGATTGATTGATTAATTGAAGTACATGATGGGTCCAGGACTTGAATGATTGATTGATTGAAGTACATGCTGGGTCCAGGACTTGATTGATTGATGGATTGAAGTACATGCTGGGTCCAGGACTTGATTGAATGTTGATTGAATCTTTTCTTATTCTTTTGTGAGATTCCAATGTTCCTGACAGAGGACGGGTGATAAGGAACAGTGTATACACCTGTGAAGTGCTGACCATATGTGGCCAAGTCCGTTTTGAACCTGGACTGACCCTTGGCGTTGGATCTAGGTGGAGACCTGAGACCATTTCATTCAGAATCGAGTGGAAAACTTCATGGAATAACTAAAGAAAACCCGCTCTGAAATTCTTTTCACTAAGGAAAACAAATATAGTTTTCTGCTATTTTTGATTGGTAAGCAAGTGTTAAACATTCCAATTGCCCTTGGGAAATATTTGCAGCCACATGTGCAAGTTAATTATTCACTGATTCCCCGAGGAAGTAATGGGGTTCTCTGTCATGGTGTCAGGGTGTGAAGACTGTTGGTCAGGGTGTGAAGACTGTTGGTCAGGGTGTGAAGACTGTTGGTCAGGGTGTGAAGACTGTTGGTCAGGGTGTGAAGACTGTTGGTCAGACTGTTGGTCAGGGTGTGAAGACACAATAAGTGTCCAATTATCCATGATAATTCTTGCTTTTGTTCACACTTTTCATTGTTTTATCATTTTCATTGTTTTTAATCACAAAAGCCACAATTTCAGAGAAAATCATCTTTTACAGATCAACTTACATTGAAAGTGATTTTGCTTGTGACGAATGGCACAAGGACATTCTTGTGATTTTATAAACTTTGCACAGGCCATCCTGTAGGACAATGAACCAATCTGAAACCCTGCATTAATATCAAATTTAAGCTTAACTACATCAACTCTGTGATGAAGTCTTTCACAGGCATTTAGAAGTTGGAAGTACAGGAATACATGCCATGTTTTCATGGATGACAACTGCCTTGTTCCTGGTCCTGTACCGTGTCCAAAGTTGTGGCCAAGATACACTAAGAAAGACATTGAAGTATGATGCTGTCCATAGCCACAATCAATCATTTAGTGAGGAAGAACCACCATATTTTATTACCATTCATCCTACTAGAACTTGATTTTACCCATTTCACAGCATTGAAGTGCTGAGTATTGATTTGAGTGCTGATTATATCAACATATTCACATTTCTTTCAGTGATGGTAACCTCATTAAGTGAGATTGGGATACTGAAACATTTCATAGTGTGATGTTTTGTTTTTGGTCGTTTATTGTTTAACGCACTCAGCAATATTCCAGCTATATGACGGTGGTCTGTAAATAATTGAATCTGGGCCAGACAATCCAGTGATTTACATCCTGAGCATCGATCCACGCATTTGGGACACAATGACACGCATCAACCAAGTCAGCGAGCCTGACCACCCGATCCCGTTAGTCGCCTCTTACGACAAGCATAGTCGCCTTTTACGGCAAGCATGGATTGCTGAAGACCTATTCTACCCTGGATCTTCACTGTTCATGTGACGACAAGTTATTGAACTTTATATTTATGCTTTATCAACTTGAAATAAAACAGAACGTGCAACCAATGTTGGTGGTAAGAGGCGACATGTGGCTCGTGAGGTCCGGCTCGGTGACTTGTTTGATGGGTGTCATCGAACGCTGATGATATAGATCGTTATTCTCAATCACTATCATTGGATTGTCTGCTCCACACTTAATCATTTACAGACCGCCACATATAGCTGGAATATTTCCGAGTGCGTCGTTAAACAATATAGAAACTAATTTCAGAACTATGCTATTTCTCATCAATGTGATTGTAGGCGTGTAGTAATTACGAGACATCAGTTATTGGGCTGTACTCGTCAGTTCTTTAGACTGCTGTACCCCTGGAGTTCTTTTGTGACTAACAACAAATTGGTTGGCAAAAATCTGAAAACCATGATATTCTTTCACATTTCAATGTTTGGGAATCTGCAGTTTCGTTTGTTTTTAAAGAGAGCCTTGCCTAATATATAAGTGTGGCCTAATGGTTTTTTTGGCCATCCAAAGCAAGTCTTGATGCCACTGAGGGCGGGCATGGTGCTGAAGGTCAAGTCAGATGTGACTTCATTGGGATGAATGCTTGTAGTAGGTGACGAGGGGAGTCCATGTGCAAGTATTTATAACGTTTGTGTCCTGAGAATGTACATAAGTTTGTGCTTAATCCTGTTGATAGGTTTGTGGTCATGTTTGTGTACTATATATAGATACAAATAACAGTTTCAATATATATGTAGATATTTCTTGTATTTCATGAATTTGATAAATAAACGAGATAAATATTCATTGTCTGTGGTCATCTTTTTGTAAATTGGCTGCTCTCTGCCCAGAGAGGAAGGTCTGTGGTCATCCTTCAGTAAATTGGCTGCTCTCTGTCCAGGGAGGAAGGTCTGTGGTCATCCTTCAGTAAATTGGCTGCTCTCTGCCAAGAGAGGAAGGTCTGTAGTCATCCTTCAGTAAATTGGCTGCTCTCTGCCAAGAGAGGAAGGTCTGTAGTCATCCTTCAGTAAATTGGCTGCTCTCTGCCAAGAGAGGAAGGTCTGTGGTCATCCTTCAGTAAATTGGCTGCTCTCTGTCCAGGGAGGAAGGTCTGTGGTCATCCTTCAGTAAATTGGCTGCTCTCTGCCCAGAGAGGAAGATCTTAGGTCATCCTTCAGTAAATTGGCTGCTCTCTGCCCAGAAAGGAAGGTCTGTAGTCATCCTTCAGTAAATTGGCTGCTCTCTGCCCAGGGAGGAAGATCTTTTGTCATCCTTCAGTAAATTGGCTGCTCTCTGCCCAGAAAGGAAGGTCTGTAGTCATCCTTCAGTAAATTGGCTGCTCTCTGCCCAGGGAGGAAGATCTTTTGTCATCCTTCAGTAAATTGGCTGCTCTCTGCCCAGAAAGGAAGGTCTGTGGCCATCCGTCAGTAAATTGGCTGCTCTCTGCCCAGAAAGGAAGGTCTGTGGCCATCCTTCAGTACATTGGCTGCTCCCTGTCCAGGGAGGAAGGTCTGTGGCCATCCGTCAGTAAATTGGCTGCTCTCTGCCCAGAAAGGAAGGTCTGTGGTCATCCTTCAGTAAATTGGTTGCTCTGCCCAGAGAGGAAGGTCTGTGGTCATCCTTCAGTAAATTGGCTGCTGTCTGCCCAGAGAGGAAGGTCTGTGGTCATCCTTCAGTAAATTGGCTGCTCTCTGCCCAGAGAGGAAGGTCTGTGGTCATCCTTCAGTAAATTGGCTACTCTCTGCCCAGAGAGGAAGGTCTGTGGTCATCCTTCAGTACATTGGCTTCTCTCTGCCCAGAGAGGAAGGTCTGTGGTCATCCTTCAGTACATTGGCTGCTCCCTGTCCAGAGAGGAAGGTCTGTGGTCATCCTTCAGTAAATTGGCTGCTCTGTCCAGGGAGGAAGGTGATTTTTAACTATCAGTAACCCCTTATATTCAGTAAGCCCCTGATATCTTGATCATCGATTAACGCGACTGGGATACGGTGACATGCATCAGCAAAGTCAGCAAGCCTGACCTAAGTCAATTCTAACCCTGATCTACAAGGTGTAGTTCCGCTGTGTCGATGATCTGATATCGTTCAACAATGGTGAAATAGCAACTGATTTACCCAGCTAAAATAAAAGTAAAAAGAGAGCCCGTAAATCTTCCTCAGTGTCTCATATACTCTTCAAAAAAAAGAAACTTGACATAGATGTATAACCACTTTTTGCCAAATATCTAAAATAATTACATTAAATGAGAACCAAATAAGTCAAACAGAAAGATGATGTGTCAATAATTCGCGAAAACACATGCAAAGCACATAAACGTAGCGTTTGGGGATCAATTTTACAGCTTCATCCAAACGCAACCGCCTGTAAAAAAACGTGCAGCACAGGATCCTGCATTTAGGCATGCAGGCCCCCCTGCTGAATGGGTATAAAAATCCACATCAACGGCTGTTCATACAGTCCTTATAACGGCAGTAGAGGCGGTGACAGAATGCCAAGACTGAATGCAGCTCAACGGAACAACGCCATTGGGAGATTACAAGCTGGAGCAACTCAGCAAGAAGTGGCCAGGCACATTGGCGTATCCAGACAGACAATCTCCGCACTGTGGACACGATACAACAACACCAACATAGTTGACGACAGACCAAGGTCAGGAAGACCAAGGGTGACAACCCAAGCACAAGATCGATACATCCGGCTGCGACACCTCCGAGGCCGCACTACCACAGCCACGTCTACAACCACACAGATCCCTGGGTTACGCAGATTATCAGATCAAATGGTACGCAACAGACTGAGGGAGGCTGGAATTTTTGCACGAAGACATGTTCGACGTCATGTATTGACCCCACGTCATCTGGCGGACCGCCTGCTTTGGTGCCAACAGAGGGTTAGATGGGCACGTGCAAGGTGGAGAAATGTACTGTTTACTGACGAGTCCCGTTTCCTACTCACACGTGCTGATGGGCGCGCACGTGTCTACAGACGTCGGGGTGAACGTTACGCCCCCAACTGTGTGCAGCAGGTTGTCCCATTTGGCGGCGGGAGTGTCATGGTATGGGCCGGAATTCATCACGGTGGTAGGACGCCTCTCGTGCATGTGGCAGGTGCATTGACAGGTGTGCGTTACAGAGACTTGATCCTACAGCCTTACGTTCTTCCTCACGTCAACGTTCATGGCGGACAGTTCCAGCAGGACAACGCTTGACCGCATATTGCACGTGTTTGTCAGGACTTCTTACAGCACAACAACATCCAGACATTACCTTGGCCAGCCCGGTCACCAGATTTGTCCCCGATTGAGCATCTGTGGGACGAGCTGGATCGACGCGTTCGCAGAAGGAATCCACCGCCCCAAACACTTCCGGCGCTTCTTGATGCACTTCAGCATGAATGGCAGCACATCCAACAGCGTGTTATTGACAACTTGATTGCATCTATGGGTCGTCGGTGTCAAGCGGTGATTGATGCACGTGGTTGGCACAACCGATACTGACATTTTCTGTACCCCTGTGACATTAACTGTATCGTGTACGTGTGTCTGTCTAGGTGACACGATTAATGTTTTGAACATTGTGTACATTGATCTTCAAACAGTGTTTCAATTATGGTTTCTGTGTCCTATTTTGAAACAATCGCATTATATTACATTTTGAAAGTCAATGTCAAGTTTCTTTTTTTGCAGAGTATATATGCATAAAGATTGAGAGTGACAAAAAAATATATCCACAAAACAGTATGACAAGAGGGATGTCATCAACTTTCTCTGTATGTCCGGCAATATTCAAGCAGCTCCAGCCTTTGGTGTCTACATTTCACAACTCTTTAGGTACAATCAAGCATGTTCTCTCTACTTAGAGGGCCATACAACGCTTGCTCAAAAGTTGTTACAATATTCAAGGCCCCAGCAAAGCTTCCACAAAGTTTAATGGTGGGGGACATTTCCAAATTTGACGCATCAGTGACAAAATGTATGTCCAGTGCAATGTTTTTCAGCCGAATAATTGATTTGCCTTTGCATGTGTTTATGACGGGTGTACACCTCCTTTTCGCAAACATCTGATAACAGCATTATTTGATCGTGATTCATAAACTAAGGGTTATAATATAGTCAGCCGGAATATTGGAATATCTGAACCACAATCGTTATAGTATTTACGTACTAATATTGGAATACTGGAAAAATTTGGAATAATATTCAGCTGGAACATTGCTGAGTACGGCGTTAAACAACAAACAAACCAATGTAATATAGTCATAATCGTATCATGAACATCGCTTGAATGAGAGATGTTTTTGATAATGGAAATGCTTTTATGCTTTTATGCTTTTATGCGTTGTTTAAATCCACACGAAGGCGTTTACATCTATCTGCGGCCAAAATAGTGTGCTAGAATACATGGACTAACAAAACGTCCTGAAATGTTTTCATCAGAACAGTTTTCATCAATATCATTGTTGTTTAATTCTTTTCAAATCAATGTAGCTTTCTTATACCAACTACCCAGACAGTATTATTACAACATTGACAACACATTTGTTCACGCAGCCAAATACTATCAAATCGTACTGTTCTTGTTTTGTTAAATATCTCAGAATATATTCATCACACAAAGGTATTACATTCATCCAAATTCTAAAATAGCCTAATAAAGCTAAAATTGACAGAAAAGTTCGCCGGTTTAAAGGAATAATGGCGTATTTACGCCGAAAGCATCTTGTTTTCGACTCATTGCTATCGCATCAGATGAGACCTAAAGTTCAGTGAGAGTGAGTGACTATGGTTTTACGCCGCTTCTAGCAATATTCCAGCAATATCACGGCGGGGGACACCAGAAATGGGCTTCACACATTGTACCCATGTCGGGAATCGAACCCGGGTCTTCGGCGTGACGAGCGAACGTTTTAACCACTGGGCTACCCGACCGCCCCTAGTAAGAAATATTGAACTTTTTGTTGAATGTCGTATGCAAATACTATAACGATTGTGGTCAGGAAGCTTAGGTGCATGATATAAGTTTGATTTAGTTCAAATTATTAAGTAAAAGGGCAATAATAAACTTGCCCAAATCATGCTTTATGTGCTCCGGTGAAATCGCAATTTTTATTTATTGTCCAGCGAGAAAATGGTAGTTGCGACTTACCAACATCTGTTTTGCCCCCTGTGTTAAAGCTGATATCGCATCTGAGCCAGACAACCCAGTGGTTGATAGCGTAAGCAGTCTACCCAGCCAGCTACAGTTCGCGCCAATGGGAAATTTCCAGCAATGTCACGGCGATCTGTAAAAAATGAGTATGCTTTGGCAACCAAGGGTTTATATATAGTCCTAGTGACTATCAACGACGTCGAGATGTGTATTTGTTTGTGTGTTGTTTAACGCCACACAGCAATGTTCCAGCTATTTGACGGCGGTCTACAAATAATCAAGTCTGGACCAAACAATCCAGTGGTTGACATCATGAGCATCGATGTTACCCCTGTGAAGGGACATACATCGTCCTCTGGTTGATGGCGTGTTGAGGACAAAGACACGTATGCCTGTGATGTTCATACCTAAAGTCGACACTGTTATGCGAGGTATAGGCTGTGTTTGCCACAGGAAGGCATATTTGTTACCGCTAAGACAACCTGTACAAACACATCTGGTCTATACACCACGAACAAAGACCCAGGACACAGGTGACATTAGTAACGCGAGCAAAGCTTCACTTTCAACGCTGTATTCTGCAATGTGTGTATTCAGCGCTTTCCTGTGCAAATATCAAATTTGTTTGTCGTTACGTGTGTTTCCTCCAACAGCGAGCTGACACGCCCCGTTGTGTAACTGGAATACAGTTTAACCATAGTCACTCACTCACCCATGACGGTGCCTTATTAACTGACTTAAGTGTGCAACTGACGTCACATTTGCCCTGATGACGATCGCCAAAGTTGTACAGTTCGTGAACTGCGTCACTTCAGGCTTTTCTCCCACATCAAGCTGACTCGCCGTTATATAACTGAAATATTGCTCAAAGGGGCGTTATGCAAAACTCACCCCAACATCAAGCTGACACGCCGTGATATAACTGAAATATTGCTCAAAGGGGCGTGATACCAAACTCACCCCAACATCAAGCTGACACGCCGTGATATAACTGAAATATTGCTCAAAGGGGCGTTATGCCAAACTCACCCCACATCAAGCTGACACGCCGTGATATAACTGAAATATTGCTCAAAGGGGCGTTATGCCAAACTCACCCTCACATCAAGCTGACACGCCGTGATATAACTGAAATATTGCTCAAAGGGGCGTTATGCCAAACTCACCCCACATCAAGCTGACACGCCGTGATATAACTGAAATATTGTTCAAAGCGGCGTTATACCAAACTCACTCACTCCCACATCAAGCTGACACGCCGTGATATAACTGAAATATTGCTCAAAGCGGCGTTATACCAAACTCGCTCCCACATCAAGCTGACACGCCGTGATATAACTGGAATATTGTTCAAAGCGGCGTTATGCCAAACTCGCTCCCACATCAAGCTGACACGCCGTGATATAACTGGAATATTGTTCAAAGCGGCGTTATACCAAACTCACTCCCACATCAAGCTGACACACCGTGATATAACTGGAATATTGTTCAAAGCGGCGTTATGCCAAACTCGCTCCCACATCAAGCTGACACGCCGTGATATAACTGGAATATTGTTCAAAGCGGCGTTATACCAAACTCACTCCCACATCAAGCTGACACACCGTGATATAACTGAAATATTGCTCAAAGCGGCGTTATACCAAACTCGCTCCCACATCAAGCTGACACGCCGTGATATAACTGGAATATTGTTCAAAGCGGCGTTATGCCAAACTCACTCCCACATCAAGCTGACACGCCCGGATGTAACTGAAAGTAAGTGTAGCTCAGTACAGCCAGAGTACGTCAGTACAACCAGAGTACGTCAGTACAGCCAGAGTACGTCAGTACAGCCAGAGTACGTCAGTACTAGAATAAGACTGCCCCGTAAATACTTAGGAACGAAACCTGAGTTTGGAATGACAACCCAGGAGCAAGACGACTACACCCCGGGTGCGGTCTCCTGGCAGACGTTGCATCCAGTGCATCTCGGCTACAGTAAAGCTGTTTAGTGCACTTTGCCTACACTCTCAAAAATCCACCCCTTACATTAATCGTGACTAGCTGTATGTTATTATTACTTCACTCTCTACTGACAAACATTGCGTTGCTTTGAAGCATATTTATCCCCTCGACACCCAGTAGATGAATGGGGAACTCGATACGTTTTCCTGAGTTAATCCTGTGTAGAATGAAAGAATATAGGTGTGTTCATAGTCAAGCTATTGCCATCTAAATCCCACGAGCAGACCGTGAGAAAGCCAATGATGGAAAAGATTGAACACGAATAAAAGGAACTCAAAATTTAGTAAAAGTAAAATATTTAGTAAATATGTTGTTTTGAAAAGTTCAGAGTTGGGAGGAAAGCCCGATGTGATGCAGGTCTCAGACGTTAACCACTTCGGTGAAACCCACGAGCACGGGTATGGTGCTGACAAACCTAGAAACATAATCGGGGCGAACCGGGATTTAAACCCACAATCATAGGTGTCTGGCGTGCCCAAGGGACGCAACTCTGCACGCGGCGCCTCAGACGACTGGGCCACCCGTGCCCCCGAATCATAAAGTTAGTTTGATAACACTGTAGGCAATAGAAGTTATCCTTGGTGTGGTATCGGGACGTACGGTTGACATCAAAGGAATAATGCTCCCAACCGCTCTGCAAAATCAAATCTTGTGCAGCAGTGAGACGTAAATAAACTGTTGTATGTCCGTTTTCTTGTGGCGAGGAATGCAAGTGACATCACGCATGCGCATGTAACTGTGGTCTGCCAGCTCGCGCAACGAGCATAGGTCATTACCTGAGGTCGCGCTGTGAGGTGAGGTGAGACGACTGCGGTGGAAGTTTGTTAAAACATTGCACAAAGTCCTCCAGCTGATTGCCAACGTATCCCAACCAAAACTGGTACCTAACTCGCCGATTTCATGGACAGTTTTTTAATAGCCAGAGAATAACGTTTTCGATTTGGAGCAACATCGTTCAAAGTTCAAAACAATTCTTCCAATCAATTTGAGAATCTTATACCTTCCAAGAAGACTTTATTTTTGTTTGGGATTAATTCGTCAATATGGAGGTAGGCGGATCAAAGTCGTCGTTGACATCAACAAAAGCATCGTCAGCCCAGGGATGTGGTGGTATCAGCAGTAAGCGGCTCATGTGGGGAGCTGTGGTAGGCGTGGTCGTCTTGGCAGTAGTCATCGGAGTTGCCGTGGGGGTGCCTCTGTCTCAATCCAAAAACAAACGACAGGCGGACGCCACACCCTTGGATAGGGCTAAACGAGTTCTGGGACAATATCCATTGATTGATGGGTGAGTAAATCAATTCTTTCTTAGACTTGAAATTAAAAGCTTATTAGTATGTATAACATATTTGAGAAAATATTGCTGCTTTGTACAAGTTATGTACGAAAACAATGGAGACACTATTATCACAGTGTATGTATTACGTATTATACATTGCAGTTAAAACCCGTTAACGCGGATTTCTTTGTTGTATATGGTTAAAGACTGAATGTATGAACCTGCATGGCCCTTATTGCCAGTGTATGATACCTGTCTCGAATTATAGAGAGCTCGATTTATTTCTAGGGCTTCGAGCTAACGAGGCGTAGGGTTTTACCTTTATTTCACACGTTCAACGCAAAAGTGAATTAACATAACAAGGGATCTCTCTCTCTCTCTCTTTCTTTCTCCCCCCCCCCCCTCTTTCTCTCTCTCTCTCTCTCCCTCTCTCTCCCTCTCTCTCTTCAACATTCCCTGCACAGCATCGCCCCTAAATACATCAATGTAATCATGCGATGTAGTTCCTAACCTCAAAGTGTTCTTAGGCCGTAGACGTCATGGTCATCAACGTATAATCGTGGAGCGCTATTCCATCCACGATCACCGGTTCCTGGCCGATTAAGGTATGGAACAGATACACATATCGACTTGGGTTGGCGTCTGTTGCAAGGGTACGCATCTCCTACACCCACCCACCCCACCCCCTTTGAAACATTAAAGCATTCACACAACTGGACAATTTAGGTGATAGAGTAGGCTAAAAATATACGTCTAACAACACTATACTCGGTATTTATTTTCAACAAATTTAAACTTTACTAAAGGAAAATTGCCAAATCATACATTGCTCCTCCATTTCCAATCTGTACCCATGTTTGCAGCCCAGCGTTGCGAGACCCCCACTACAGGGACACCGTGCTCCCAGGCACACAGTAATACACAGCCATGTGACATCCTGTCCCCCGCAGGACATTCCGTTGGTACAAAAGTATGAGTGTTTGTAGTGTCACGTCTTGTTTGGGTCACGGTATTACAATAGCTGGGACACTGGAGGGATTTATACTTGTCCGTGACCCCTTGATGACCCAGGAACGCTGACAAAACGTTTTTTGTATGCATGCCATACATGTCATATTTTGTGAAGTGGTGAGGTTAGGTGAAATGGGGTTTAACGTCTCGTTCAATATTTTTGCACTTATACAGCGACGTGCATGCATGCATGCGCGCGTGCGTGCGTGCGTGCGTGTGTGTGCGCGTGCGTGCGTGTGTGTGTGTGTGTGTGTGTGTGTGTGTGTGTGTGTGTGTGTGTGTGTGTGTGTGTGTGTGTGTGTGTGCTAGCCCACTGAAATACCATGCAACAGTTTAACATGGATACCCCACTCAGACACAGTTTATTGACTCCGAGCCGACCAGTCCCTGTTCTATCCCTCAATGTCCAGCGCCATGCAGGCAGGGTAATAACAAGTACCATCTTTTAACGTCTTTTGGTATGACGCGGCCGGTGATCGAACCAACGATCTTCCGCTCTCCGGAGACCACTATAGACCGACGCCTTATCCACCGGACCAAGAATGAGTGACCAACCTATATTTTACTTATATACTCATATGTGAAAAATGTAATATTCTTGTATGCTTGCCGAAATCAATGATGTATTGAAAAAATGGGCTGATCGACAGGTGTTTTCTTGGTGAGAAACGTTATTGAGCATCACCGGTAATCTTAGAACTGTCTATTTAAGAAAAATGATGGCGCGAAAAGCAACGTAACACCTTTAATGCCTGGGAGGTGTAGAAGCGACCTTGCTAAATTTAGATGGGGTGTTGGCTGCAATTCAAACTGAAACCGGGCGATATGAGAACCTTCCTGTCACTCAAAGTATTGTATAACCCTTAGTATATGCCCCTTATGCAATAACAGTGCGATAGAAGACGTAGTCAATGCATGTTTTATTGAATTGTCCTGTTTATGACGAATTTCCCTTTTAATCTTTTGCAAACTGCCTGTTAGTATATTAGTTAATTCAAAAATTATAAAAAGTTGGAGCAGCTATGCTTTTAATGTCCGCTGAATGTTTTTATAGTCTACAACGACGGAGAAACATATTCTATTATTGATGTTATAGCATTTGTACAGAGAATGTACGTTACCCTTTAGTAAGTCTATCATAATTCCATAAGGAATGACGTCTGTATTTGCATTCAAATGTGTGATGTTAATGTAATCATATTGTACATAAGGTGAGGCTGTCTGTCGTGATTTTTTCTCGAAATGAGTAAGAGGGGCCGTCTCCAAAGCAAAGAGTAAATAATACAGGTTCACCAAATTAGAAATGTTATTACATAACCTACTTGCAATTGAGCTCGTACATTGAAGTACATCACAGTTTATTTGCAATCTTTGTATTACAATATCCATGTATATATACGCATTCAAACTGGCAAGGTGTATATAGTTAGCAAGTCCGACATGACAGAGACTTTCTGAGTGACTTTATATGTCTTTACAAATGTCTTTCTGTATGCTCGCAGTGTTCAGGTGTTTCGATGACCGTTGTCACTGTAAAGTTGGTGATAGGTATACAATACAATCGAGGGGCTAGTCAAATACCTTTTGAAACGCAGAAGGTATTCCGGGCTGATGTTGCTCTGTGTCTTTCTGTCGAATTGTGTCCGGCGCCCGGCAATGCATCCAGCACTATTTGTGTTGACAACAGAGGGTGCATCGATGTTCTTGTGAATATACTCTCTTTGAAATCCAACTTTACACATGCTAATACCATTCAGAAGATTCATAACAGCGGATACACGTGAAACTAGGACTACTGCTTTTCAATCTGTTGATTATTTGTTTGGAACAATCACTGTTTTGGAAACAGTTTCCGGTACCCAGGCCGACCCGTTGTTCCTCTTGCGACTCAAACATTTTTACAGTAAACTACGGTTATAACGAACTCAAAGGAACCACTGATATTAGTTCGATAAAACCGTAGTTCGTTATAAGCATATATACAACATATAAACAGCAAATGGCCGGGACAAAAAAAGTTCGTTATACCCGTCAGTTCGTTATAAGCGTGTTCGTTATAAACGTAGTTTACTGTATTACATGTGTAAAAAGTGTTTTGACATTCGAAACGCAGTAGGAAACTTCTTTTCTTGGTATTAAAACTGTGTTAACTTTAACGTAACCTTGGCTGAAACATATGGTTCTTAAAGTCTGTTGCTGTAAACATTCAACACTACAATACCATGACATGAAGCTTCATTTAGGAGGATTGCTGAAAGTATTGCATGTCTACGATGTTTATTATCAAAGTAGAGATAAGTTATGGATAACAACTTCTTTATTTACTGTAGAGGCGATGTCTCGGTATAGATCCTTGCTTGACAACGGTATAAGGATCTATACCGAAACGTCGCCTTTACAGTCAATCCGAAACGTCGCCTTTAAAGTAAATAAAGAAGTTGTTACCCATACATTATCTCTACTTTGTCATTTATTGGGCCTTACATGTCATTATGAAACCTTGTGAATACAACGCATACTGGTTGTCCTTTATCGTGATGTGCATGGCTAAGATATGGCGTAACATGACGTACTCACTAACCACTGATGTATGTGTGTGGAGTACAGGCTATTCATAAATGACATCGAGCTGTGTATGGTGTTGCGTAAGTAACGTGACGTGACACGTTGACTCTCTGTACACTGTCGTAGTATTGGTGGTTATACTGGTTGTAGCAGTAGTTAGTCTAGTTCTAGAAGTTTACTAGTGGCCATTTTTATAGTAGTGGTAATGGCAGCAGCAGCAGCAGCAGCACTAGTAGTAGTAGAAGTAGTAGTAGTGGTAGTAATAGTTGTTGTGGTTGCTATGGATGTATTATTATCATCACCATCATCATCAATCTTCTTATTATTGTTATTGGAACATTGTACATGCTGCAAGGAGTCAACGCAGCGGTCTAAAAGAATTATTTATCTAGGGTTTTGCTCTTGAAGGTATTTGAGAAAAAAGTATGTCGTTCAAACTCGGGATTTGTTTTAAAGTTCTTGATTTCTTAAATGCAGATGTATCTTAACATTGTACTGGGACACTGCATCCAATCTCATAGTTTGTAAAATTAACCACTAAAGCCTTTACTGGTCTTGTTTTCAGTAAAGTAGGAGTCCCCTCGACCAAGCCTTCACACTGGCTGTAACTATAGTAACGTGAACTGGGCACTTCTTGATCCCCATTGGTACATTTGCCACGTTTCTTTGTTCGCGTGTTGCTGCTTGGTGTTTTGACAGCATACATCAGGGTGTTGGAACACAAGAGATGCCTGGCACAATGTCGATCTGTTCCTACTGACCTACGTGATAGGGTGGACCAAGTGTGTGGGGACGGGCAGTCACATGACCAACATAAATTGGATTGAAGAACGATGCCTTACAACATATCATGTAGACCGTATCACCTCAGTCCCTCTGAAAAGGAATGTATTTTTATTCCTGGAAAGTTCATTGACTCGAAACTAGGAATATAATGAACTTCTTGACTGAATACATGTCCTTTACGTCAACAGTCGACACTCCGCATTAGTCGCCATTTGTACCTTTCCGTGACGTAAACAAAAGTAACAATAAATATTTAGTCACTCAAATTCTTTATCATACATTTGGATATGATGACATACCAAATCAACTTCAGCCAAAGACATTCTTAAAATCTGTGACATTTGGTAGCTTAAGAATACCCGCTGGTCAAGTAACAAAAAAAATGGCGCTTTGCGAAACGAGAAGTGTCGATTGACGAGTTAAATGATAAATTTACAGTTTATAACGAAACATTTTCAAGAGAATAAGAAAGGACAAGAAGCGATATTAACCCCATAACTGACGATCTGTCATTGTTTTGCCTTGTCAATGTAAAAATGATGTCAACAGTTTGTGTACAAGCCAAACACTTATGATAAAGGGAAACAATTTGCGGGGAGGTAACTCTTATATGAAAATATGTTCACTACAGCGTTTGCAAAATCTAA